TCCTCCCTTCCTTCCTTCCTTCCTTCCATGCTTTTTTTTTTTAAAGAATGCTTAAAGAATCCCATGCTCAAGTGTGTTAACTTGTTGAGTGACTTCCATCTTACCCTGGCTGGTCCTGACCCTTGGTCTTTGCTCTAGAGAAAGCTTCCCTTAGTGTTATCTGCACTTAGCTCCCCTTTACTGTTATCTGCACTTCCAAAACAAAGTCAACAAAGCACCATGAGGAAGCCTTAGATTACCATTCTCTCTTTTGGGTTCTCCTCTTGCCTTGTATCTTGAGATGACAAGGTGACCCTCCTAAGGGACAGACTAAACTCTTTCTGTCTCTGTTAAATTGTATGATGGAGACAACCTGTATTTTCCTCACTCATCAAGAGAATCATATCCACACAGACACTTGGCTAGCTTATTGTGACTCTTACAGGCAATGCTTATAGGTCGTCTGTGAATTTAGAACCTCAATGTAAACTTTTGTTACTGAAGAGAAGAGGAAGCTGTTTTCTAAAAAGAAAACTGTGTGTGCATGTGTATGTATGTGAGAGAAAGAGGTACTTCTGTGTGTGTATGCAGGGCAGAGGTCAACATCGGGTGTCTTTCTCAATCTCTTTCCTCATTTTTTTGAGGCCAGGTCTTTCACTGAACCTAAGGTTCAGCTGTTTGGCTATACTGGTTGGTCAGCAAGCTCCAGGGATTCGTCTGTTTCTGACCACCACCCCAGAGTGCCAAAGTTAGAGAAAACACCAAGTCCTGCTTTTTTGGAGGTATGAACTCAGGTCCTCAAACAGTAATGTGCATAGCAAGCATGTTACAGAGTGAACCATTCAGCCCAAACTGTTTAATTTGGTTCTTGAAAATAATTTATGCACTGAAAAGAGTTATCAACCATGTGCCCTCTGTAAATGAGTTCTGACTTCCTCACAGCCCCCAGCCCACATGTTAAAGTAGCGGTGGCTTTGTGATACCCTGGTTTGAAGGGCACCTCTGTTCCAGAGTCAGCTACCCTTCATGTTTAATGTCAAACTCTTAAAATGTGCTTGCTTGTTATGTGGGAGTTGCATTCCAGACCCTATGACTTTTCAAAGCCACACGTCCTCTACAAAATCCTGGCTGGTTTTCCTTTGAATCCTTTTGCTCAGAGCAACATAGTCATTCCATTTATGGGATTACAATTAGTGAATTATTCTATTTGTGGAAGCTTTCTTTTTTCCCATGGAAAACAAAACAAAACAAAACAGAGGGACCATACATGTTTCTTGCCAGGATATCCTGGTTGGCCCTGGCCTACTTTGCACCTTGAATATCAAAGCTTTAAGTTGGCCATGAAATTCTAGAAACTACCTAAGCTTCCTCAATTTTTTTCCCCAGGTGCTGTGTACACCTCCTCAAAAGCAGGTTTGGTTAACATTTTGGAGAAGGGGGAAAACATTTTCTTATACTTCTTTGTTTTCAGTCAAACCACACGTTAATGAGTGAAAAACAGGACAGTACCAGGATTCTTTTACACATAGTACCATCCTTTATAAAATTACCCCAAGGGTATGTTTTGATAGACTATTGAATGCTAAATACTGACATTCTTTTCTAGACCCTTATGTGTAACTATATTTTTTAAAATTTTGCTGATAAGATACTGGTAAGGTTTTGTTTGTTTATTTTGGTTTTTTGAGACAGGGTTTCTCTGTGTAGCCTTGGCTGTCCTGGACTAGCTTTGTAGGCCCGGCTGGCCTTGAACTCACAGTGCTCCACCTGCCTCTGCCTCCCCGAGTTCTGGGATTAAAGGCATGTGCTACCTCGCCCAACTAATAAGTCTGTCTTTATTAGATATTTACATGAAGTGCGCTATTCTGAGTAGAAATTTAAATGCTTCTTTTGAGCATTTAAGTGAGTTAATTGGTGATAGCCTTGGGCTGTGGTCAGTTGTTTTCCAGGACAAGTGTGACAGCTTGCTGACATTGAGGGCTCCTTTTGCTTATAGACAGGTGTGGGCTCTGGAGCTACAAGCAAACTGTTTGACCTAAGGCCCCGGCCTCAGGTGGATTTGGGCTATGGATCATGTCATTTCCCAGGAATTGCACAAACTCAGACACGAGCTTGTGCAGACTAACGTTTATGCACCTAACCACCTTGCTTAACTGCTTTCTCCTGTCTTTTGAAACTAATTTATTATAAGTGGTACTTGGGAGTGGCGACTGCAGAGAGCAATAGCTGACAGAGAGAAGTGACAGGAAGCTCCGCCAGGGAAACATCCGCTTAGCGAATCTCCTACATTATCATTAGCACCAGTGAGTCTTAAGATGACCCTGAGTGAGAAAAACAGCAGACGAAAACTTAAATTTTTGTTCAGTGTGTTCCATTTACAAAGGCAAAAGGTGGCTTAAGATTGGCAGCCATGGGATAAGCGCATAGCTCAGTCAGTAGAGTGCTTTGCATGAGGACATGAATTTCACCCTCAGAATCCATGCAAAAAAGCTGGGCATGGTAGCACATGTTTATAATCCTAGTGCTTGGGAGGCAGGGACTGGAAGGCCGCCGGGGCTGTCTGACTAGCTAGCCTAGGCACTGTCTCAAAAAATAAGAGGGGCAAATGACTCATTACATTGTCCTGTGGTTTCCACATGCATGCACACATACACGTGTATGTACGAACACACACAATCTAAAAACAAAGCCTTTTTACCTTAACTTATTTTCCTCCTTTTAACTTATTTTCCCCTTACAAGGAACTGCAAATGATTCCAGCCTGACCTCACTTTGTTGTTGTTGTTGTTATTAGTATTAAAAATTTGTCTTGCAATTTATTCATTTTATATCCTGGTTGTAGCCCCCTCCCTCATCTCTTCCCAGTCCTACCCTCTTCTCTCCCTCTTCCTCTCTCTCCCCTTCCCCTAGTCCTCTGAAAGGAGGAGTCCTCCTCCCCTGCCATCTGATCCTAGCTTATCAAGCCTGACCTCACTTTGTATACTCAGGTGCTTGGAATGAAGTTGCTAGATATTGATAAGAAAGAAAGGAATGGTATGTGCAATGGTTGAGATCATCTGGCACCTTGGTAAGGGAAGCAAAGCAATAGTATACCAGCTTAAAGTTAAATTCACTGAAATAAAAAGATATGTTATAGAACTATGTAGTGTTTGCCTTTTGCATTTAATCTCATAGTAGAGTAGGAGTTTTTTAATGTCTGCTTTTGAAGAAAAGAACAGGGGTACCCAGCAGACATACTTTCAAATGTTCCCTCTGGTTCTCAACCTTCCTAATGTTGCACCCCTTTAATACAGTTCCTCATGTTGTGGTGATCTCCAACCGTAAAATTATTTCACTGCTACTTCATAATTACAGTTTTGCTGCTGTTATGAATAGTAATGTAAATACCTACTATGCCACCCCAAAGGGGTCTCGACCCATAGGTTGAGAACCGCTGGTTATGTTTCTGTCCCATAAAGTGTTGTGTGTATGTTTACACCCTAGAGAAGATTGTCGTCTATATTTTTTCCCTGTTTACAAAGGTACAATGAATAATACACTGATGCAAAACAAGGCTGGATACACCTATGCTGTGATGTTGAAAAGTCTAATAGGAGCATCTAAAAGTGGGAATGTTTTAATAGTTTTTTTCCCCTTGTTTTTCAAAATTAAAAAAATTGGGCACTGAAACTATGACACATAAGACTTAAAGTCAATTCAGGACCTAGAAGAGTAAATGGTTATTCATATCTTGAAGCACATACTCACTTTAAAAAAAAATTTAGTTTATTTACTTTACATCCCAAGCGTGTCCCCTCTTCCCCTTCTTCCAGTAACCTCCACTCCCCTCCTTTTTCTTTCCCCTCTTTTCCCCCAGAAATGGGGAGCCCCCTTCCCCTCTGTATTAACCTTCCCCAGCACATCAGGTCACTTCAGGACTGCCCACATCTTCATCCCCTGAGGCCAGGCAGCCCTGTCAGGGGGAAGTGATCCAAAAGCAGGCAACAGAGTTCACGTTAGAAACAGCACCCCCTCCGCTCGCCAGATGACCCATATGAAGACCAGGTTACATGTGTGCAGGGGCCCTAGGTCCAGATCATGCGTGATCCTTAGTTGTCTCAGTCTCTGGACTCCCCCATTGGACCGGCTTAGCTGGCTCCGTTGGTCTTGTGAGGTTCCTGACCGCTCTAGGACCGTCTAGCTTTCCCCAACATTTCCTCAGGACCGCCAGAGTTCTGCCCCATGCTCGGCTGCACATACTCACTTTTTACTGGGATTAAAAAAAAAGGTTTATCTTTTTGAAGTAAGGTTTTGGGTGTGAAGATATGTAAATTCTGAAATTCTGTTTTTGAATGGAGCTTTTACTCTTTTACCTAACATGAAAAAGTTTCAGGGAATCTTCTAGCTTTGATACCAGAGAACTTTTGGCTGTTGGAAATCTGCGTCATATTTTTATAAATTACTAAGAGAATAAACAGAAGTGTTCTTTCTGTACATTTGTTGAGGATTTTCAATGTTATAGACCCATGCCATTTTCTCTCTATATATAGATTTATTCACTAATTCATATATGTGAACCATTGTGAAAAAAAAAAAAAACCCTCTGAATAACTATCTTCCCTCTCTTTGGATCGTGTTTCAGGCAGGCCAGCCATGAGAGGGTACCTGGTGGTTATATTCTTGAGTTCCATCTTCCTCTATTATCTGCTACATTGTATCCTGTGGAGAACAAATGACTATGGGTAAGCTTCAGCTTTAACTACTCAAACATGACATTCAAACTAGTCTTCCACTTATTTGTTTAAAGAATATTCCAGGGTAATATTGTAGCATCTTGGCTATTACCTAGCTTTTCAATGTACACTTTACACTGTATACTATTCCAGTATGCCATTGATGGTTTCTTTAACAATTTGAAACTGTTGAGCAGGTCTGGGGAGATGGCTGAAGATGGGTCAAGCGCTTGCTGCACATGTATGAGCACCTGAGTGTAGGTTGCTAGAACACATGTGGAAACCACGCATGACCTGATGCATTTGTAAACCCAGTACTGGGGAGGAGGGATGGATTGGAAATGGGAAGATTACTGATATATGCCTGGCCCAAAAATCAGGTTCAGTTCCAGGGCTAGAGAGAATCTGTCTCAAAAGAACCAGGGGAAGAATGGTAGAGCAGGAAGATACACATGCGTGCATGCACGCACACACCACCCACCCACCCCCACACACACACGTACACACACACACGTACACAAACATACACACAAACAGAGATATACAAACACATAAACACATACACACGCCAGGTTTTTAAAGAGAAAAATCTTTCCTTAAAAAAATTATGTGTGTGTGTTTCTGTGTGATTATGTACGTGTGTGGAAATACCCAATAGAAGGCGTTGGATCCCCTGGATCTGCAGTTATAGAGGGTTGGGAGCCAACCCAGCATATGTGCTGAGAACTAATCTGTAGCTGGATTTAGCTATTTTGTGGGTTCTTCTTTCCCTACGCTTTATTCCCACCCTTTATTCCAACCTCCCGCCCCCTGTCTCACTCTCTATCACTAGATAGAACAAAAGGATAGAGTGGAAGAAAGAGAGATAGACATCTGTGAGTCTAATTTCTTTCTTCTTGTTTCTGTTTTGAGCACAGCTGCTCACAAACCACAACCAGCCCTCCTAAATACCAACAACCACCAACCCCACCTTCCAGAGCTCTAGCATTTATATGCTCTCTGAAAAATTCCCAGAATTCCCAAACATCACACAGTTGCAGAAACCATCTGCACTGTCAAATCCAGGCCTCTGCTAGAGCACGGGGCAAATGATAGTCAGCTTCTGCAAAGCAGCTCCATATCCCCACAGCAGGGATGAAAATGAAAACGTATTTTACAATAGTTCTGTGTTTAAAAAAAAAAAAAAAAGCTAAAATTTCAGAATTCTTACTACATTCACTGGAGGTTGGCTTCAAGAGTAGCATATGCTCTAAGCCTTTGAGTCTCCCTCACAGCCTCAACCTGTTATTGAAGCAATAGTCTTGAGTGTCTTCAGGACATAGCATTCTGTGTTTACACAATAGTTCATTTCCTTGAATTAATGAAGCAGTGCTTGGACTCAGTACCAGTTCACCTTCGGTTTCCTTTGTTTGAAAATATAGTATGTTTCAAATAGCTTTGACATGAAATATTAAATATGAAGGCGTACTGCAGAGAGATTTATTAGGTGTGTTTCTTACATTTCCCATGTTCGTCCTTTGGCTAAGAATAACGTTTCGTTTACCTTTTAAATTCTAAACGGATGTTACTACACAATTAAATCCAAATAAATCAGATCTTAACTTCCCATGTTAGACAGATCAGTGTTTAGTCAGTGTTTCAACAGGAGATCTTAGTTTGTTTCTAGCTATCTGGAAAAATCCCATGTTTCTCTTTCTGTACATCATCACTGAAGAAATATGCTACGGGAAGAAAACCTAATTCTAGGTGAATGGTTTGTCCTCCAGTTTTAGCCTTAAGACATAAATACTGGGTCAGAGAACCTTGAAGTCTGATTAAGAATTTAATGAAGATCTTCCCTCAGGACTCTCTCTCTTCATGTCTGCCACCTTCTAATAGTAGAAGAAAGGAGAGAAAAATGCAGTGTTACCTTTTGCAGTGCTATGTTGCTATTTGTAATAGGCGGGGTTCTCTAGAGGAATAGAACTCATGGAATGTGCACATGTTATAAAAGGGGATTCATTCAGATGGCTTCCGTGATAGGGGTTGGATAGTCCAGCCACAGCTGTCTGCCCTAGAGAGAGGCTCAGGTCATGCCGTCAGCTTGAGAAGCCAGAAGCTTCAGCATTCCCAGTCGCGTGATGAAGACCTGAAGGAACCTTCACATTGCTGGGTGATAGTTGACATTGGAAGACAGAAGAAGTTGGAGTCTATGCCAGTTAAGGACAGACATGCTCATAAACAAAAGGACAGGCAAGCTACATTGCTTTTTCCTCTGACCTTTTTCTATCTGGGCTACCTGACAGAAGGTACCATCCACTCTGTAGGTAGGGTCTTGTCCCCTCAGTCGAAATGCCCTCAAGGTCCACCCAGAGGCATGTCTCTTAGTTATTTCCAAATCCCATAAAATTAGATTACCTGCCATTCTCCTTTTCTATACATCCTGTTTATCACAGGGGAAATAAGGAAGATAATAAGACTTTGAATTCACTACTGCTTTTGTCATCAGAATTTGACAGTACCTGGGAGATCACAGCTAATATGATTAAATGACACCAAGGTTTTGTTTCCTCCAAAACTGCTTAAGAGGGACTGAGGTACCAAGCCCTTCCATAGCCTTTATGTATGGACCTGATGGGGACAAAAAGGGAACAATGACAAGACAGATAGACGGACACATGGATAGAAAGCTAGGTTTGGATGGATAGTCTGGATTCTCTACTAGAGAAACCCCAGCAGTATGAAAACTCAGTGTGTTTAGCATATATAGTTGAAATGAGAGGCCAAGTTATTCTATATAGATGGAAGAGAAGGCAGGGTTATACATAAGTATAAGACAGGAAGCAGGGTTGGTGGCATACAGCTGGATCAAGGTGACAGGTTAAGCTAATCTTTATAGGCGCAATCTTTGTAGGAGAACAGTCTTCAGGCCAGATGCATCATGGGAGAAAGCTATGGTGGACATTCTCTGCATATACTATCAACATGCAGAATTAGTCCCTCAAGGAAAACTTTACCATCCCTATGAGTCAGAAGCTATGGGGTCCTTGATAATGGCTATGTCCATGTAAAAAAGCACACTTTCACTCAGGACTTCATTCATTCAGGGCTTTCTTTGTTCCCTATACAGTTCCCTGGCATTTAGCTTCTACATAAACAGCCAGGTGTGGTAGTACATACTGGCCAATGGGCCTAGCCTAATCCGTAGACCACAGTTCTCTGTGAGAGTTTAAGACAGCAAGGTAGAGGGCACCTAAGGATAAACCATAACCAAAGTTGCCCTTTTGTGTACACAAATACAACAGAAACAACTTAGCAGTTAAGGCACTTGTCATGCAAGTAAGAGGACCAGACTTTGGATTCCCACAATGTACAGTGTGGGAGCTCACCTGTAGCTCACGCTTTGTAAGGCAGAGACAAGTAATTCCACAGAGCCAGCTGGGCTCACAAGACTACCATATTAGCGAACTGGATTGTGCGAGGGACTTTGCCTCAAAATAAAAGTGATCAAGGGAGAGTGCCAGTAGTGATCTTGAGCCTCTACTTATCCATGCACACATGTGGGTGCATCCACACATATGTGACATGCATACAACACATACACATGAAAAAGAAAAAAAAAACATACAGGTGATTGTCTTTGTTTTCAAAGTACCTAAACTCTGTCTTCATTATATTCTAAAACAGCTGTTGATTTTCTGTCTTTTTGTCACTTCTGCGTTTCTGAGCTTGTAAATGTAGTGGTAGACTCACTGAATATAATGCAGCTCTCTGGCTAGCCATGCTGCTCTACCACATCTATGTTTTAACCTTATGCATAAAACAAGTGGCCCTTACCATGGCAGCATTCTCCAAATATCCCATTTCATAAGGACTTACATCCTTCTAGTTCAATAGCTTACTCATTCTAATTATGGAGATTTCACACTTTTAAAAACTGAAACTTATTTGTCTATAAAAGGTTCCATCTATTCATATTGAGTCCTATTTATACTCGGAGAATGATTAATTTTTTACTTTGTCTTTTTCTCATTCGGTTGCTTGAATTAACTTTTAAAGCATCCGTTCTCCATAGAATTGCTGATCAGTGAGTTCTTATGTGAGGTTATTTTCCTCTTCCCTGGCTATTTCCTCTCATCACCTACTCCTCCTTCAGATTTATTTTCCCTGTTGTGTTTCACAGTACCCCTTTAAGTCATGGAGATAAGCGCTGCATTTAGGAGCCCCGCCAGCCAAGAACCTAGGGCATTTGATATGGCTGTCAGTGGTATGACCTGTGACATCCCCAAGACAATGGTCTGTGGACCCTGCCCAGTCAGTATTTCCACTGTCTATCACTAGGTCTTCCCACATATGACCTGGGGTGTAAAAGCCTCATGCACTTGTGCTCTGGGTTTGGTTTTGCCAGCCTTTGAAGGCTTCTAAAACCTAAAGTGTGAGGTAACCCTGTCAGTCACTGCTTCCTTAATCCCAAAGGGTGCCATGACTGTTTCCATTCTCCCTTGCTTTTCACTTAGGAGTTTTCAAGCTTGTTGAGGATTTGGAGAAGGCTGAGTTAACCATCAGGGCTGTGTGCATGTGTGTGCATGTGTGTGGGAGCTACACAGTGGGTTTTTGGGGTACACGTTCCTCCTTGAACAGGATTCCTGGTCCTGGCTTCTCACTGCTGCTGTTTCTTTTTCCTAGGGTCTCACCTCTGGATTTAATAAAGACGAATAAAAGCAATATCCAGTATTGTAAAAAAAAGCCACCTTTCATCTCTCTCCTGAGGTAAAAATAGACATAGATAAAACAAAACAAAACAAACAAACAAACAAACAAAAAACCTGGCCACACAATATATGCCGAATGTGTTTGTGGTCATTTTTACAGTGTTTACTTTTTCCATGCAAATCTTGGTACTTGGTAGATACTAGATGTGTAAGAAAGTATGTAATGGACTTGAATATCCTGCTGTGTGCCTATAGTCAGAATGAACTCTGAGTATATTTTAAGGAAGTTTGTATTCTTTTTACGTGGGTGAACCTGGAGAGGCCTACCTGCATTTGATCAGAAAAAATGAACTTTCCTTAGGCTTTCCTCACCTCCTTCCTCCCATCCTTATTTTACTTTTATTATTATTATTATTATTATTATTAGAATTTTTTTACTTTTAACTTAGAATTAGAATTTTTTTATTAGAATTTTTCCCTCACTTTTACCAAGCTACATAAAATGCAAATGACTGAGCTACATGTAATGTGATTAGAGAGTGATTGTTACGGCTGCCAGAAATTGCAATTTACTCTTCCACAAACATGTCTATCCTATGGCCGGATCACATACTTAACAAAAGCAGCGGCAAATTCAGTTAGGCATGTTTAACTGTATAACACATTTTTTTTTTTTTTTTCTGAGACTTCCCTCCCCCGAAGTTTTATTATTTCTTCAGGACTGCTAAGTGAGTAGCTAAGATTGCATTCAGTGGGACAGATAGGCACGTGTTTGTCACTTGTACAGGATTCTCTAAGGATGCTTCCTGGAGCATGCTAACTTCTTGGAAATAGAGGAAAACCAGCAACCCTGAGAAGGCTTCGCTCAGGAACCTGGTTTGTGTGGAGGACTCCTTCCCTGCTCACAGGAATTGAACTTGTGTGCAGATTGCAGTTTTGTCATTTGTGAGCTAATGGCTCCGTCTCTGAGCAAGAGCTTCACTGCCTGTACTTACCTAGAAGGCTTTTGTCAGGGTGACAACTGAACTTAATTGTAATAAAAGACATTTTAATGTATATAGTGCACTGTGAGTATCAGAATTATTACCAGTAAAATTAATACCTATCGAGGCTCTTGCTATGTCTGACATATTGTCCCAAGTAATTATTTTTAATTTTTATTAATTATTTTTAATGATTATTACATAATTATAAGCAACGAACAGAGGTTTGACTAAAAGCTCATGCTAGTTAGTAGCCAGCATTCCTGTCACATCACTCTGACTGGCTAGGAAGAAAAGAGCCCTTTACTGGTGCAGTGCTTTAGGGTTTGGTTTCTCCAAGAGCACAGGGAGGATCTTGAGTTTTCCCCAAGCCTGTACCGCTCACCCAGCACTTCCTCCTCCCCAGTGTAGGTCCTGGGACTTGGGGAATCAACGCTGATTTAGAAATGACTCGTGCAGGTTGGCTGGCTCCTAAGGCTGCTGTCACTCCCAGTGCCGAAGCTAGGGTATGCAATTAGTCAGGGGTTGCTGGTGCTTTACCTGTTGCCTTCATTTGAACGCAATGCTGGTTAGTAATTGCAGCTCTTAGGAGCAGGCTAAATCAATGGCATTCTTGCTCTGTGGCTCTTGCCATTTTTCTTGCAGCATCATGAAATCCCAGCCTCACTCTGGTTTCCACCTGTACCTTTAAATGTAAGCGCAAAGCAGATGAAGTACGCTATCGTGGCCCTGCAGTAAAGCTTGGTGGGTCCTGCCCTGTAGCCTCCTGGTGGTCTCTCTGGTGGGAGAAAGTATCTTACTAATAAAACATGTTAAGACTGTTTCTCTCTCTCTAATAATGTGAATAAACACTTCTCTACTTTGTAATGGTCCCATAAAAACTGATTTGGAGTTAAAATTCATTCACCCCACATATTAAAAAGGTGTTGACTCAGGGTATCCTGTGTCTGACTCCACAGTGGCTCTTCCTATCTTTGTCAGATGGCCCCAGGAGAGATGTAGGAGTCACAGCGCACATCTCGAAATCAGAACATGTACCAAAGACAAGTGTCTACAATTTTTGTTCTTGAGTAAAGTTTAATGACATTAGGGCAGAGTGAAATTCTCTAGCTGTGCTTAACTTTCAGTGTATCTTTGTTTTTACAGTTGGTACAGTTTGCACATATGGTACTCTTAGGTTTTGGAGTGGCTTAACATCAGTGCCTACATCACTTCCTGGCCATCACTTTCTCACCCGGAGTTGTTCTGAAAGCATGGTTTTACTTATACTATAATGTAATGTTGGTCCCTGTACCTGAGAATTGCATAGCTCTTCTGAACATCTTAAATTATTTAAAAAGGGTTTGTAAAACTCACGTCATCTGCTGCCTTGAGGTTCAATTGAGATCATAGATGGCTAAAAACTTGTAGGTATCTGACAAGGTCATGCTTTTATTATTTCCTTCCAGGTTTCCTCGGTTTTACCCATTTCTGTGTGCAGGTGATTTTGAAAAGTCTACTTACGCGTACGGTAGCAGGAACTTTGCTTTGCCCTATGGCACAAAGACATCAGGTCAGTGCCAGCGTTCTAATCCTGCCTGATAATCCGAGTGGGTTTTGAGGACCTCTTAGAGGCAGTGTAGCATCAAAGAATAGTAATGGCAGGCTGTGAGTGTGCGTGTTTGTGGTGGTGGTATTGGAAAATGGATTTACTTTTGTTCTGTCACAGTGGCACTTAGCTGGGCTCACATGCCTAATAACTTTATTCTAGTTTAGAGTTAGTAGGATTACCGTAAATGGTAATTTCTTACCGATCGCTTCCTTATACCTTTGTGTGTGTCTTGTGTCTTCATGTGTGCATGGGTAGACATGTGGACGTGTGAAAGACAACCTCAGGTGTTCTTCCTCAGGCACCGCCCACCTCTTTTTTTTTTTTTTTTTTTTTTTTTTTGAGGCATAGTTTGTGCTGGCCTGGAATTCAGCAGATAGGCTAGATTGACAGGCCAGTTAGCCACAGGCCTCTCCCTCTCTCCACCTGTCACAGCTTGCCCTGTGCTATGAAGCAAGCACAGGCTACCATGTTATTTATGTGGATTTCAGGAATTGACCTCAGCTTCTCATACTTGCAAAACAAGCACTTTACTGACCCGGACATGGCCCCAGTTCTGTTTCTCCTCTGACTTATGTATTCTATCAACAAAGTCTAGATCAGTGGTTCTCAGCCTTCCTAATACTGCGGCCCTTTAATACATCTCATGCTGTGGTGACCCCAGCTATTAGATTGTTTTGTTGCTGCTTCATAACTGTATAATTTTGCTACTGTTATCGATTATAATGTAAATACTGTTTTCTGATGGTCTTAGGTGACCCCTGTGAAAGGGTTGCTCAACCCCAAAGTGGTGGTAACCTATAGATTGAGAACCACTTCTCTAGAGCCTTAGATTCCCTCCCTCCCTCCTTCCCTTCCTTTCTTTTCTTTATTTCTTTTCCGAGACAGGGTTTCTCTGTGTAGCGTTGGCTGTCCTGGACTCTTATAGACCTGCCTGCCTCTGCCTCCATGAATGCTGGGATAACAGGTCTGAGCCACCACACCCGCTCTATCTCTAGTATTTTGATTTCACGGGTAGATTTTATTTTCATCAAGTTGAGAATTATTCAACCTCTTAGCAACACAGCAGTCTTCCCGCTGCTCATTGAGAGCTTTTGGGGTTTACATGGCTTTGAGCTCTACGTTTTAGGAAGATGTTAAAAACAACAAGGGGTGGCAGAATTATGATTTTGTGAGACTTTACTTTTTCAACTGGTCCTGGTTTAGAAATGTTGACATTTATACTTCAATATTTTGCAGAAGGCTAGGGATATAGCTCAGGTGGATAGTGTTTGCCTGACATGCTTGAAATCCTTGGTTCAGTTCCTAGCATTATATAAACCAAGCATTGTGGCCCAGACCTGCAACTCTGGCACTCAAGAGGTGGAGGGTAGGGAGTTCTCTTTATATATATGCATGTGTATATATGTATACATGTATATAGTATAAGTATATATACATATATAGACATGTATGTATACTATGTACATGTATGTATACATATATGTATATATACACATATACATATATTCACATAATGTATATCAGAGATTTTGTATGTATTGGAAATTTGACTTAAATTCACTGAGTTTGATTTTACGGTAAACTTCACAGTCATCTGTTAATACTAATTTTTCTTACTATTTATGACTGTTTTTGTATTGATCATCACTCTTTGGAGGCAGTTTCAGAAAATTTACTATCTTGAGAGTGCTTTCTGAGTACCATGAACAAACTGGATAAGCTCTTAATTTTTCATGGAATAACACTAATGGCCTGTGTGCTTTTGGGAAGCTGGGCAGCTCGCTGTCTCTAAGAAGGTGCGGTTCTCCTTCTATTCATAACACTCTATTTGTTTTCCAGGAGGATTTTTTCATGCTGTCCTTTCACTACTGCCGAGTTGTGATGTCTTTGATGAGTTTGACAAGTGAGTTTATTCTCTTCTCTCCAACTTCTAGCTTGATTTAAAGTGACTAAAGTATTTGCCTCAAGGAATGCAAAGTGCATGTACTCTGGCTGATTGCATGGGATGTATGTGTTGCTAAAACTCCAGTTCCCACCCATGGCATTCTTAACCCATGTTCATCGTCTCTAAGTTGTTTGTACTAAAAAATGAAACCACTTGCTGTGGTAACCAGCACAGAGCCTCCATCCATGGTAGGTTCCTATGCCTTCTGTGCACATCTAGCAGCTTCCTCATAGTCTTTCTCTTTTTCTTGCTTAAAATGTTGACCACTGAACCTTGGAAAAAGTTTCTTACTGACTTGGTCAGGCTGTCCCCACTATTTCCTCTTCATTGCTGCAAATGCCCCACTTTCATCAGCCTATGCTTAATTCACTTGACCCTTTTCCCTTCACTTTCTTCTCTCTCACATTTCCAGAACTAAAACAAGACAACAACAACAAAACCCAACCTTTTTGCTGCTGTTTCAAATATAAATTCTTTAAGACTCTATTAGTTTGGTTCAGACAACTTCATCAAGCATGCCTGATGCTTTGGTGTATTTTACTGTGAAGGAGAAAACATGAAAGTATTAGTTAAATTTGTAAGTTGGTTATTTCCCCTCCCCCTCTCTCCATGCATGATGTCTACAGGGCTGTCCCAGGGCTAAGATCCTTTTACATTGGACCCTTCTGTTCCTCAGTATGGGGCTTCCTTCTTATGGTCCAGCATGAAAGATGGAGTTCAACCCATCACATCTTCATTCCTTGAGAGGAGGGATGAGAGGAGGGATGGGAGAAGGGCATGCACTACTTCTTGAGGCTTGAACCTCCCTGCCCCCACACTGGATGTCTCAAGATGTTCATCACTGTACTTAGTGATGAGAGAGCCAGGGGTACCGACAATAGAAAGCTGTAGCCTCAGCTGGAAGCTTGACATCTCCCATGGAGCCATTATTTCTATCATGGGAACTGGGAAGTCTCACAAGCCGGAGTTTCTCAGGCTCTCTCTTCCTTCTCCCTCCTTCAGAATTGATTGTTAAACATTTGCTAGCAACCGCTGATGACCTCCCATTGGGTAGATTCCGGCACCTCGCCATTTACCTGGCTAGAAAGGTGATGGCAGAGGTTGCCTGTTGTCACTCGTTGTGTGCCTACCGTTGAAAACAGCGAGTCCTGGGCTGGCAGGATGGCTCAGCGGATATGGGTGTTTGCTGCCAAGCCTTACATCTTGGGTTCAATCTCCAGTATCCATATAGTGAAAGGAGAGAACCTACTCTCTGTCACATTGTGTGACAAAATGTAATAAAACATGTCTGTCCTGTTTTAAGGGACAAAGGAAGCATGGTGATAGTTCTTTTTAGTAGCTTTCTCTGTCACTTCTTTGGTCTCAAGTGTTTGTGTGCCTTGGAGGAGTCTAGAGTCAACTAGGCTAAATAGTCCAGAAAAATCTTCTCTGCTCTGCTGTTGCTTTCTCATAGATGTAGGTCCCTCTTCATCCAAGCCCAGTGAGCATCGCTACCATGCTCAGTGAGCTTCACTAGAGGTGGATATTTCAAGGCAGTTGCAAGGGACACTTATATAGAGCAAGCCCACATGCTAAGGTTATGACTTCTTGACGTCCATGCCACTCCCTTGATCTAGCCTGGTCCTGGTGCCAGGGCCATTGCAATCTTTTGTGTGGGATTTCATCCCTCCACAACTAAGAGCAACAGAAGCCTTGGCATTCAGAACTGCACTCCCACTTCAAGTGCACAGACTAGCTCCCCACCCCCAACCAGGAGACTGTTTTGATCCTGCATCCTGGGTAGTTACACAGTAACTACGTATAAACAGCTTTCTAAGGGAAAAACCTGTCTAAGTCAGGTGGAAACTAAGTGGGGGATGGGCTGTAAAAGCTGCCTTCCTGCTCACTGAAATAGTATCCATTATGTCTTAACAGAACTTGGTTGGATTGGTTATGAGTCAACGCAGGGCAGGAGCCTGGGATGGAAGCGTAAGAGGCCCTATAAGCACAGTGAGGGGCTGCCTTCCAACATGTTGCTGATGGAACATGATGGACATGTTGCTGAATGAAGGGTTGTTTACCTCCAAGCCTTTGTGGGGTGGAGGTAACTGAGGGCAAGGGGAAGTTGTGATTTCTACATCAACAGATGGGTCATTTGTGGGAAAAGCACAGTGCAACCACTATCTGTTTTCTTTCATTTCTGATAGATGCTGAGAAAAGAGAGATAAGAGCTGGGGCTACCCAGGCTGGAGGAAAGGGCCCTGTCTAACAAAGCAACATGGAAGATGTTAGTGATTTCTGTATTTCACACAATGCAAAAACGGAAATGAGAGGTCAGCTCCCCCAAGCCAAGTTCCCAGAGATGCTAGTGAAATCTGAGTACAGAACCTCCCGTCTCTTGAACGTTATTTTAGGATTTGGCTGCAAGGAATAAGATGCTATTGGAAAAGGGCATCCAGTTGCACCACCTTCAATAGCCGGTTGCCTGTGTGAGTTTCAGAAAAATATGTAGGTCTCTGTGGTATCCTTTCCTTTGAGGAAAAGTATATCAACTGGAATCCCGCTTTTCCTCTAATAAAGGCCCTTTCTTCCCCTATCCCCTGTACGAAATGGAATTCCTACAAGCATTTGAAAACAGAATGGAATTCCTACAAGCGTTTGATACTGAAGTTTGATGAGCAGGAATAGCACTTTGTGGTGAGCTAGTTGTAGAGGATCCTATAGGAAAGATCTGCCTGAACTCTGTATCCTTTGCCCTCTTGGCTCAAAGTGGTAGGTCTGTGGGAGGTCCAGGACTTGGAGTTTGAGGGGTTACCAGTGGCAGTGGCATGACAGGCACACACTGTCTTTAATCCTTAGGTCCTGATGCCACCTGCAACCTAAGGAGAACATGCTGGGAATGCTATGATTCAGCCTGTCAGTGCATTGCAGCATTAAGCACAAGGTAGAGCTTATGAGCCAGGAATTCTTTGTTGAACCCCAGCATAAGTCCCAAGGGCCGTGCTGGTAGCTTCTGCCTCCAGCTGCGTGAGCCCTTTTGTGTTTGGTGTAGTCAAGCCTGACAGTCTGTTCCAGCTGGTGGAGGCCGGAGTCCTGTTGTTTGTTCCTGCACTTAGGGGAAAGCAGCCCCTCCCTGGATAGAAGAGCTGAAAGTGGCTTTCATGGAGGCAGCGGGGTTAGACTGATGAATACAGACACTCTTCCCTCATCTCCACTCAGGCTGTCTCATGGAAATGGCTGCATTTCTAACCTGATTGTTCTGAGTGGGCTCCTTGGTGCCCGGCCTCGCTCAGGACTTGCAGTAGGGAGGTGGAGGCAGCTTCAGCACGATCAGGCAGGGGAAAGAGCTGACCCTGTGGTCCTAAAGAGGGAATTTCTCGCTGTAGAGCTGAGGATAACAGCTATAATATCCTGAAAACAGGGGTCTGATTATCCAGTGGTGGCCGCCCTGTAGCAGTGAAGAGCAGAGAGCTTTGGTCAGCTGCAGTTTGTATGGGGGTCATACTTGTTCATAGAAGCCTCTAGACACAGGTTACTTTCTTAAAATATACAGACATAAACGACACCTCCAGAACATATTGTAACACATAGGGTATCCACGATGGGAAGGTTTGTGGGCACTTTTTAATTTATTTTTTTATTTAGACAATGACCACTGTCTTTAAGTCCCCAAAGTCCTGACAGCCATAAACAAAACAAAACAAAACACTGGTGCTTCTTGTTTTTTGGTGAGGTAGACACTGGTGTTGGCAGAACCGATATTTATTAATTGGAGCTAAGAGCCTCCAGTTATGGCGTATAAAGAGTGATCAGGGGAGAGGGGCTGGTGAGATGGCTTAGTGGGTAAAGGGGCCAGTTGTTCAATCGCCAGTACCCACGTGATGGAAAGGGAGAAACAACTACTATAAATTGTCCTCTGATCACATTTGTACACCCCCCCCCGGCCCCCCCAACACAACACACACACTATTTCCTAGGCTTAGTGGACAGTGGTCAGAGGAAGAAAACACTCAGCCGGGGCCACATGAGCTGAGCCAATGCTGTGCTCCTCAGGGGGCTGGCTCTGGCCTGAAATAGCAAGTTCCCTTTGTGCTCTCCCTAAAGCTTCTTCAGAGGCAGAGTGAGCATCGTGCTTGGGCGAAACACCAAGAAGCAGTCTGTGTTTGAGAAATTGAAGTGAGCCCAGGCAGGGTTCGCAGAGACAGAAATCCGCTCGTCCTCTACCAAACTGGCCATTTCTACACTCAAGTGATGCAAGAGAAGCCAGGGCTAGATGCAGGATGGGGAACACTGGTTTAAAGCATAGATAGCGGTGTAACGGGAGCCGTGCTTGCACCTTGCACGCTGATGGACTGCCTGGGTACTCTGGAAGTTCAGAACCAAACGCTAGGTCTATCTTTTTGGAGTTTGGACTTTGCATGCTACATATTTTTTTCCCCAAATTTATTTCTTCATTTGTCTATCAGGAGATAATCAGTTTTCTCTGAACTGGTGATTTTAAGGATCATATAAAGGAATGTGCATGAGCCACTAAGGGTTGGTGTCAACCGCGGTGATTCGCTTTCCCCAATGGCATTATTTTTCTTGAATCTCTGGACCTCACTCACAGTTGGTTCTTCTTCTACTTGGATGACTAGTGAAATTTAACTTTGTTCCAGAGAGCAGGTGCAGTTCCTGGGAATCGTCCTGTCTCATTAGTGTGATTACTCAGCCATTCACTTATCTCTCTGCCCAACAGAGTGCCCTGTAAAAAGTGTGTGGTGGTTGGAAATGGAGGCGTGTTGAAGAACAAGACACTAGGTGCAAAGATCGACTCGTATGATGTAATAATAAGGTAAACATGTCTCCTGTTTGCATACCTAGAATTGCTTGAGAAGAATGGGGCTTCCCATTCCTGGCCAGCTGTGTTTTAAAAATGACCATTTTGTGCACCTGGTTACACAGCTTTCTGCCTCGGTCACTGGCTCTAGTAAACTAGATTTCAGATCACTGATTTAGTAAATATTTAGTAAGTCCACTTAATATGCCAGGGACATAGGAGGAAGCAGAGCATGATAAGATTGTTCTTGTACCTTGTGGTGTTTACATTCTAAAAGAAGGGGGGACAGTAATTAAATACTTGAGAAGAGATTTTAAGTATAATATAGACAAAAGAGATGATAAAGAATTATCAAGTGACAGCTTGGCAAGGGATTATCGCATAGAGGAGAAGTTTGAGTTTTAGAGAGTGGAGGAGCAGACCAGACAGAGGGCATGTGTACTGTTCCTCGAGAGGCTTTTGACAATTTGTGAGGAGTACCAGATAGTGCAAGCTCAGGAGGGTGGTCTAACCAGACCGGAGGGGATGGGCAAAGAACAGGCTATGTAGGACTTTTAAGGTTAGAAGAGTCCATTTTTAATCTTAAAGCCACTTAGGAGCTTTGGAAGCCTCTTAGATAGGAGCGTAGTGAAATATGATTTTGTCTTGAGAGCATTGTGGCTGCAGCAGACAATTGAACACACGGACAAGGCAGAGTATGAGGCATCAAGAGAAGTTGTATTCAGGCTGTAAATGAAGGGAAGGGGGGAAGTGAACAGACCGACGGTAGGTTACAAGCGGTTGTCAAGATTTGCTGCTTTATTACATGTGGCAAGTCCTGCAAGCAAAGGAAGCAAGGGACCTCTGACTTCACTGTTGGCTAGAGAGTTATAGAATCATCTATCAAGACTCAGAGAGACAGGTTCAGAGGAAAGTAAAAATTTCTGTATTATGTCAGCTTTTGAGATGTGGAGTGGGTAAGCAGGCAGTCACATAAACAGGCTAAACTTTTCAATAGTGACCAGCCTATGAGTTTTATTTCAACCAGTGGCTTGGTGATATTCCCCAGGAAGAGACAGACACACACAAGAGAGGGCCTGGCACGGAGGTTTGTAGCTCTTAAGACTCAAAAGAGGTTGAACTAGGAAAAGGAGTGATCTGCCCATTAGGCGTGAGGAAAATGAGGTGACTCCAATTGCCAACAAGAGGGCTGACTGTTTTAGAAGAGATTTCATCTGGGTCCTAATTAGGATGAATTGTTGTCCAAGCGCAGAAGGGGGGTCTGCTGGATTGTCATCCTGATGGTCACTGGTACCCTTGATAAAGGCTGTAGCGAGAAGCCCAAGTGGAATGGATTGAGGAGAGAACGACAGATGAAGAGCCAAACCAGTATCGTCAACTGTCAATGTTCTGAGCAGTTGAAAAATGAACTGGGCCTTAGAGGTGGTGACAGAATCTAAGAAGGCGTATGGTTAAAGTGATTGAAATGAGTAGTGAGCCTGGTATAATATAAATAAGAGGCCATAGGGTTAAGAGCTCAAGGGTGATTCTTTTTTTGTAATGGGAAGGAGACCCATGACTGTGGCCACAGCTCTCAACAGTCTCTGATACACAGTATAAGGGAATTATCTTTCCTATCTCTATTGTCTGAATGGAAGGGAGGTAAGGTTCTTATTTGGGTAATATTCTCCCTTTATCCTTCTCCCTTTCCATCTCTCCCTTTTCTCTCTTCCCATCAACCCTGTGTGTGTGTTTTAGAAGTAGCTTTTTTTTTAATTTTTATTTTTTAATATTACAGTTTGTTTACTTTGTATCCCGCTCCCTCTCTCCCTCCCAACCCCACCCTCCCACCCTCATCTCCTCCCTGCCCTTTTCCAAGTCCACTGATGGGGGAGAACCTACTCCCCTTCCATCTGATACTGGTTTATCAGGTATCTTAAGGACTGGCTGCTAAGTCCTCCTCTGTGGCCTAGCAGGGCTGCTCCTCCCTGGGGGTTGGGGGAGGTCAACGAGCCCGTCTTTGAGTTCATGTCAGAAACAGTCCCTGTTCCCCTTATTAGGGTACCCACTTGGATACTGAGCTACCAAGGGCTACATCTGAGCAGATGCTCTAGGTTGCATCCATACATGATCCTTGTTTGGAGAAACAGTCTCATAAAAGACCCCTGTGCCCAGATATATTTGGTCCTGTGGAACTCCTGTCCTCTCCAGGTCATATTAACTCCCCACCCTTTTTTTTTTTTTTTTTTTTAAGCAGCCACTGTACTAGTATACTGTGGCCATACACTGGGAAGGCCTTGTGTGTCTGCAGGTTGCCTGGGATACAAGCTGATTTCTGCATACTTTTGATTTATTACCCATTTTGAAGAAGCTGTGGTAATTTATAAAACAATAGGATTTATCCATTTCACCACTTACATATGTTACATATGTTTAACTCTAATACTTTTTAGAACCTCAGCAAGTCTTTGTAGGGAAATACCATGGGTACATTTTTAAAGCCACTTCAAGTGTCTTGTATTATATAGAGTTGGTGGCAAAAGAGTGAAACAGTATTTATCCTCTCAAGGGACATTGTTTCAGAAACAAAACAATTATTCATTTTTTAAAAATAGAATGTCTTTATAGTGTGTGCACAGTGAGTGTCTAACCTTGGCCTTGACCGTACATTAATCCAGCAGATCTTTTGTAGTGTTTTAGTTCAGTAGTAAAAGGCATTCATCTACTTGTGCTGAGTGTGGTACAGAGTTTTTATGGGGTTAATTTCTTTAAAGAAAAATAAGGATGTACTTGTTTTATGAATGTTTGTCTGCATGTAAGAATACTGTGTATGTGTATCTGGTGCCTGTGGAGACCAGAAGAGGGCACTGTATCCCTTAGAACTAAAGTTAGGGATGGCTGTGAGCCAGCACGAGGGTGGTGGGAACTGAACTCCAGTCTTTTGGAAAAGCACCACATGCTCTTAACTACTGAGCCATCTTTCCAGCCCAGAACACAATTTCAACCGGTTTTCACATTAAGCTCAAATGTGATTATCCATGCTTCTCAGTCATGTAGGTGCACATCCATGTCATTTTGGGCAGAGTAGCCTGTAGGCATGTAACTTTCTCAGTACTTCAGGGCCATTAGCTGTTAATCTAAGGTAGGTTTGTGTAGTTATCCACCATGGTCTCTTTAAGCTCTAGCAATTCTGTGGTTCTGTATTCTCTCTCCTTTTAGTCATGTGCAGGTCATACTGAATGACTGATGTTGTAATTAGTTTTGGTCATTTCTGTAAAATATTAATCAAGTCTCTTGGGTCTCAAGATTGCAGGAATAATGACTGCTGCTTGTCTAATTCTGAAGCCACTTGATGAAAATGGCTAATATTTCACTTATCCTGTATATGTTGTCTTATTACCCACAGGATGAATAATGGTCCTGTTTTAGGACATGAAGAGGAAGTTGGGAGAAGGACAACCTTCAGGCTTTTTTATCCAGAGTCTGTCTTTTCAGACCCTACTCAAAATGACCCCAATACTACAGCTGTTCTCATTGCTTTTAAGCCACAGGATTTAAGGTGGCTGATAGAAATACTGACAGGTAGCAAAATAGTAAGTTGACAAAACTATTTAGATTCAGATTACTTTCAGTATTTTCCCCCTTAAAATAAAATACATTCTCAACATTTTCTGTGTCCTTTATTTCAGGCCACTGATGGATTTTGGAAGCAACCAGCCTTAAACCTGATCTATAATCGATCTCAAATCAGAATATTAGATCCATATATTATCAGAGAAGCAGCTTATCACTTTCTTCATTTTCCCAAAGTGTTTCCCAAAGATCAGGTATGTATGTCATCACATAGTTTCAAATTAAAGATCCAGCTAAGGGCAGAGAGGAACATTAGAACTTTCAGAGATTGTGATGAACCATGGCTCAGATGGGATTTTCTTAAGACTACAGACATGTTTATGAAATTAGACACCAAATGGTTATTATCTAGTGTTTTACAGGTTACAAATTGACTGTGAGAAGTGTGTATTTTGGGCTTGTTTTGTTTTTGTATAGCCTTCCCAGGCTCTTTTTTCCAAATGTCCAATACTAATTTTTTTTTAATATTATAGTTTCTTAACTTTGTATCTCTGCTGTATCCCGCTCCCTCTTTCTCCTCCACCGATACTAATTTCTTAAAGTCTTATCTTTAGTGTTGTAGAGCAAGGTCACTATGACTGGTGGGTTGGTCAGCAGCATTGAGTGGAGAACAACTTCAGGACAAGGATGTAGCTTTTCAGTGTATAAAGAATTGTCTCAAGCTTTCGGTGTTCTTCAACTTCATGTTACATGAAGTGCCAGAGGTATACCACTGATCAAGAAGTAACTCTCTTAGCTCAGTTTTGGAGGTGCCCATCATGTGTCGGGGGTGATACACCATTGTAGGAGTGTTTTAGAATACTCACATCTCAAAGGCTGGAAAGAGGGAGGGGGAAAAAAACTGTAGACCATTAGGCCATAAATGAGTGAAATGTGTGTCCTGACATTTTGTTGATCTTTTTAATTCTCCAAAGGCAGCATCTTTCCCATGGGAGCTGGACTCATGATGTTTGCAGGATGCATTTCACAGCTGCCCTTTGACCTACAGCTGCAGCTGTATTTTATTTTAAAAACTTTCCAAGATATTATTCATAGTGTGTGTCCTTCTTAGAGTAATGTATGCTCTTTGGGGCTTGAATTTTAGGCATAACAATGGCCTAACTATTTCTCTTTTTAATGTTTATAAATCATTTTCATCAGAGTAAGCCAGTCAACTATGTTTGGGAAGAATGTAGCTTATTTGTATGTGTGTGTATGTGTATACACATATTTTTAAGAGTTGTTTATTTTACATTATGGGTACTCTATTTGTAAGACACTTGATTACCAGAAGAGGGCATCAGCATCAGATCCTAGTACAGATGGTTGTGAGTCACCATGTGGTTGCTGGGAATTGAACTCGGAACCTCTGGAAAAGCAGTCACTGCTCTTCACTGCTTAGCCATCTCTCCAGCCCCGCTTATTTCTACCTTTAAGTTTCTGATTTCCTCTTAGAAACCCAAACACCCTACGACAGGAATTATCGCCATCACAATGGCGTTTCACATATGCAGTGAAGTCCACCTGGCTGGTTTCAAGTACAGCTTCCTCAGCCCAAACAGTCCTTTACACTACTATGGAAATGCCACCATGGCTTTGATGAAACAGGTAATTTTTATTTTTTACTATTTAAAAACCCTTGCCTTTAAAATTGTGTACATTGCATCCCCGTTTGTAGGTGCATACTTGTGTGGGTGTCTCTGGAGGCCAGAGGTCAATGTTGAGTGTTAAAACAGTCACTCACTGGTACAGAATTTACTAAGCAGACTCGGCAATCTGGCCAATTAATCATAGAGATCAGTCTGTCTTCACCCAATCCAGTGCTGGGATCACGTAGATCCCAGTTATCACCACTGGCTCTTTTACACCTGTGCTGGAGGGAGAACTCGGGTCCTTGCCCATACTTTACCAACTGAGCTTTGCCTCCAGGTGCCTGTGTTTTCCTTTTTACACTCTTGAACTCCCAAAGGCTAAAAATAGGATTTTGGTCCAGGGATTATTTTACTATAGCAGCAGTTTCTAACTTGTGGATCTCAGATTCTTTGGCTAGTCTCATGGTGACTGCTGTTTCATCTAACCACAATAGGGACTGAGTCTTATTTCAGATTTTAAAAGAAATACTAAATATAATCAACTAGTGTGTAAGACACACAGACTCACCAAATCATTATGGTCATAGCAATTGTGTTCACACTTTTGGTTAAGTAGACAAAGTGGTCTAGAAACATGTAACCCTGTGAAAGCCTTGATGACGACAATGTGGCAGGCCTGTTTATCACATCATGTTCCTTTTGGTCAGACACTGATATTGGTGCACTTGAATGTGAGGTTCAAGTTTTGAAGGAGAAGCGATTTCCTGTTTCTGGAGTTCTTCATCCTACACCATAAATGACACAAAAATATTACGTCTGAAATTTTGAAGCATGAGTTATTTGCTATAAAAGTATATGGCAATAGCTCATGAAATCCGTCCTCCTAAATAATCCCTGGATACCTTAGAACTAGGGAAGTGACAATCATGTTGAATTTTGCTGTTCCTCTAAACACGAAACCAAAATTTTAAGCTTGGCACGAATTTGAGCTTTTCCTCAGCTCTAATTTCCCATAGCACTTGTAGAATATTGAAGCAACTCCCTGGGGATATCAATAGAAAGATTAAAAAAAAAATGGTACTTTACAATGCTAAGCCTCACACCCAGCTCCAGAATTACTATTTTTTGCAGTATTAGGAACTGAACTCGGGCACTCATGGAGGCTAAGCAAATACTCTTCAACTGAACTAGTATCTCAGACATTAAAAAAAAAAAAATCTTGTGTGAGGCAGGGTCTCTCCTTGTAATCCAGGCTGGCCTTCAATTTATGATTCTCCTGCTTCACCTTATCAGAGTTATAAGCACTGCAAAAGTATGTATCAGGCTCAGAATTGTTGTTTTAAAGGTGGAGGCAGAGGGTCAGGAGTTTAAAGTCATCCTCCATTACACAGTAACTGTAATCCTATATGGGCTGTACAAAATGCTGTAGAAACCCATGCACCCTGCAACCACCAGGTTTTATGGCCTCTTATGCCCAAGTCAGTTTTTAAGACTGGACTCTGGGTGTTACTCTTACATTGCACATTCTGATGTAAATGTTTGGTCTCGGTATAGTTCACCACTCCAGGTGAAACTCAGGTGGAAAAGTGACTCAGGGGAAGCTCTAGAGCAAAAGAATGAGCCAGCAGGGAAACAGGGTCCATGTAACTTGTTGCTGCTGTCTGCCCTTACTGTGAGGAACTTTTACGCTGAGTAGCTCTCTTCCTTTGACAATGTCTGCAGAGTGGGAATGATGGCCATCGTATGTCATTTTCTTTTTCAGAATGCTTATCACAATGTGGCTGCAGAACAGCTCTTTTTAACGAATATTATAAAGAAGAAAATGGTAATCAACCTAACTCAAGATTGACGATATAGATTTCAAAAGATGACGCTAAACAGTATTAGTTTTTATTTTTGTACTGCAAATTTTAGTTTATTTTTAAATATGTTGAACTTGTGAAATAATTATGTATATTAAGTCTGTTGCTGCCTGGTGATTTATAACCACCAGCTTAATTTCTATGAATGTATTTATGAAAAACACAAAAACCTTTTAGTTAAGATATCAGGGAAACATGTAAAGTTTTGATTGTGTTTTTTAAAAAACAAGCTGGTGTCTTGAGTTGTTTTAAAATACCCCTTTGTAGTTCGCTTATGTGAAGGGCTCTAGGATATTTAGATACGTATTAAGATTGGTTGTTCCTGGGCACGTGACTGGGAACCAGGTGCAGAAAACTGAAACCGACTGGTTGTGGAAGTCCATGGTACTCATGGTGGTTTAGTTAAGTCCCCCCTGTAATTGATGAAAGCAGCAATTGGCTGTGTTAGGGAGTAAACCAGAGCCTTGTACAAGTTAGGAAAGTACTCTCGCACCAACGAGCATCTTGAGAGTTTGCTTTTTGGGGAGATAGGTTCTTCCTATGTAGCCTAGGCTGGCCTTGAACTTGGTTCTCTTGTCTCTGTCTCCCTAGTTCTGGGATTACAGCTTTGTGCCACTGTATCCTACAGCACCAATTTTAAAATACCTTTTTCTTTAAAGACAGAGTCTATGTAGCTTTGGATGGCCTAGAAGCCATAATGTAGTCCAGGCTGGCCTTGAACTCAGAGTTGAGCCTACCTCTGCTTCCAGAGAGCTGGGATTAAAAGGTGTATGTCAGTTGACCTGTTCAAAATAAAAAAAAACACCAAAAAAACAAACAAACAAAAAAAAAAAAAAACCAAAAAAAAAGCAAGTTCAAGAATGAGCAAATTTATTTTCCTAGTTTAATGTAGTCATTAAATCTTAAGTGTTTATTTGAAACAAATTAGAAAAGTAAAACAATGCAAGTAAAGCCTTAAGATTTGAACTGATTTTCTGTTTGTTTATTTGTATGGGAAAAATGTCATATTTTACATGACTAAATTTAGCCTTCAATGAAACATTTACTAGGCCATTTCAGGTACATGAGAGAAGAGTCAGATGAAACAAACGAGAGCTAGCCCTGTAAGGCAAGTTTCCCCTTTCAACTGTTAATGCACAAACCAATGGTTACTGGGGTAGAATGGAAGAAGAGAGAACAGTGGAGATGATGAAGATGGATTCAAATGCTGTCAGAAACCTGAGTTGAATGAAGAATTACTGTCCTTTTTTTATCAGTAAGCATTATTAGAAGCATTGGTGTTACTGGCAACCAACTTGCCCCACTAAAGAGCAGCTATAAAGAGAAAAAGAACAATTGAAAAACCTCATAAGCAGGAGGGTGACTTAGTTACTGACTGGGATCTGACAGGCTGGCTCATGCTGGCACTGTGTCGAGCTTCGTAACTGAGGTGGAAGCTAGGTACCAGCTGACTCTCCATGCTTTGGGGGAAGGGGGGGAGGGTTCTCTTTTATTGCACAGCCACACGGAGCTGTGCTGCCCAGATTCACTTCCACAGTAAATCTGGCTTGAGCAGGGTGGAGCTGGCAGCAGGGAAGGTGGGAGGGAGGGGAGCAAGGGAAAAAAACTCACAGGAGTATTCTGGAATGATGCTATAAATACTGGTCATAAAATGTGACTGACTGTTGTCAATGTTGAGAAATTTGGTATTTTATGGGGTATGATGTCAAGGTTGGTTTATTTAATCCAAATAATCTGAGCAAGACACATATAATTTATTAAGAACACATTAGAATCTCACTATTTCCAACAGCCTAAATTCTAGCGACATATACAGATGTCAAGTGACCACAGCGCATGCCGAGGTAAGAAAAGTACATTCTGGGGTAGAACTGGCACTCCTCTGTACTTCAGTACGTTTTCTGTTCACCATTCCCAGTGCCGAAAATGGGAAATGAGAGAAAGTTGGGCTAAATGAGAATTGGTGCCACAGTTCCCCCAAACACTTTATTATCCAACTCCTTAGAGTTTGCAGTTTAGGGACTTCAAGTTCAACCCAAAGGTAGAATTGCCCCCCCTTTTTTTTACACAGAGCCCCCACCAGTTCTCCTTGGAGGATCTGGACCCTTCCAGTGTCCCCCATAATCTCGGGGCTCTTTAGTGGTCTTGTCTGCCTTGGTTTTCTGCTCCCCTTTGCTGCTCTCCAGGTGACAGTGCAGAACCAAGGCACAGAAGCTCCCACTCAGTCGCTGGCCACATCTGTGGCTACATCCACTTTTAACACTTCATCCCCGGGACAGGCAGAGGAGAAGTGCACGCACACACACAGCACACCATCACTGTAACGACTGCATAAATTCTCTGTGAATAGCGAATAAAACTATTGTTCAGTGGAAAGTGCAAACAGTGAAACATGAATTAAATACCTGGACTAGACCTGGCACGTTCAACAGGAACCACTTGGAGCTACAAACAACATGTAATAAAATGCAAACCGGAATCTACAATATCTTTATGTGTGCTGGTTCCTAGGATCAAGGAACAGCCAAGTCAGTGTAATTTTCTGAAACCTCCCAAGGCAACGCTCACCACACTCTTGTGTATATATTTCTGTAATTGTTATTAGGAAACAAAAAATCCAATTAAGTATTGAATATTTCAAGCGAAGAATTAAAAAAAAAATCAAGGGGTTTGGTCAAAAAATGGTTACTTTCACATTTTACTTGATTGTCCTCTCAGACATGTAAGTGACTAAGAACCTAAGATAATCTATAATACAGAAACTAAACGGGAAAAGTATAAAACCAGGAAGAAATCATTTGAATCAGGCTCAGCTCTTTATCTGCAAAGTAAAAATATATAAAAATAACTAGGTATTCTATGAAAACCATTGGTAGAGTTCAAGGACAGCACAGTGGCAATAGGAATCAAGTCTTACAATATGCATCATACCAACAAACATGGCCTCACTTTGTTTTTAAAGAGTTCTGGGGGAAATTAACCTGGGGCACACAGTTACACAAAATAGCAGGCTTCTTTGGGAAAAATGACTTCATCTCTGCTGCATCTCTTAAACCTTCCAGTGGGAATGTGACTCGAAGAGAACTCGACTCTCAGTGTCCTAGGCATGCATGAAAATAAAACAGCAGAAGGTCTGCTTTGTTGGCACCTGAACAGCATGCGCTCTACACATTCTCAAATGTTTCTGTGCCCGTTCAACATCTGTGCTTTTTGCTTTGTTACCTTGAAGCAAGCTGTGCGCTCATTTCTCAACAAGTGAGATTGCGTCTCAAACTCTGTAAGTCAAAAGGCAAAACTACAATAAAAGCAACAAGCTGTATGACAAGGCGACAGGAACCTGCAGAAACAAACAGTTGTGTTTCGGAAGCAGAGTTTTACAATACTGGTATGCGGGCTGAAGGAAGAAAAGGCAATGTTGTTTACCACTGTCCAAATGGAGTGAAGTCTAATAACTCGGATGGTACAAGCTGAGAAACATGCCAAGGACCCGATGGCCAAGTATACCTTAAATCTACAAACAGGTTTGTAGACTGGGACAGGGCATTTATGTCTACCTCTGATGTGCTTTTTCAGTTATCTTGCCAGCCTACAGACAGGAGAAGGTGGTTTCCGTACTACAGGCTAATCCATTAAACTATGTGGTTTCCCCTACGTGAAATGTGTGCAAGGCGGGTCATGTTCAAGCAGTGACAAGTACGATGCTGGGAAGAGTCACACACAATTCGGATGCTATAGCATCTCTGTCAACCAGGTCTGACACAAAGGACTATTTAGGTCTCTTCCCAGACAGAAGGCAGAATCAGAGAGACCTGAAGAACGCATGTCGCCCCTTTTTTTTTCTTTCTGTAGTAGTGGGGGCATTGAACTTCGGGCCTCACAATGTTGTAGGCAAGCACTAACCACTAAGACATATCCCCACCCCTTATTTTGAGACAGGGTTTTATGAGTGGCCTAGGTTAGTCTTGAACTCAGTCTGTATAATACAAAGCACTGAACTTGGGGTCCTCTTGCCTCTGCCTCCCAGGTACTGGGGACTATAGGCCTGATCCATCAGGCCTGGCTCATATGTTGGTTTTCTTTTTCTTACAGTGGTTTACTGAAGAAAATTAAAATGTATTTGACAAAAATTACAAAATAGTTTGGGACTCACAGAAAATTTGCATATTTGGGCTTGTGTGTAAGTAAGGCAAAGGAGGTTAAGTTTTAGTGTCTTTTATTTCTTCCATTTGTAGCTTTTCTAAACTGTAAGGTACTTCTCTCCCATGACCATTTGGAGAAGTATACTTAGGGAAGGCTGGTTTCACGTGACTGCCTACTGCAAAGGAGGCCTCCAGCATTTATAAAACACATGGTGGAGCAAGGCCACAGTGGGTCCTGGGTGGGATGAACAGAGGAGAGACCAGGCCCTTGGCACAAGGTGTTAACTGCTGTCAAGAGTGTCATCAAATAAGAGGCCAGTCACCTAGCTCACTGCAAGGAAGAGTGTTCTAACCATGCATCTTCCTGGGGAAACACAGGGAAGTATTCATGGCTGCCACTGGAACAGGCTTATCCATCGCTGATTGTTGTGAAGTAAACAAAGAATGCGGACAGCAACACAGGATTAGCAGAGGAGGAAAGCATGATAGTACACACCTTTCACAAAGGGAGAATTTCAAGCCATTCGGTATTTCAAGAACAGTACCATGCATTATTGCCAGCGAGGCTTACAGAACCATCTCAAGCTCATTAATGTACCTGCAGCATTGGTAATAAATACTCAGTGATTTTCAGTTTCTCTGAAGTGCATTATAGGGAGCTTTTTCTGTATTAAAAATAGTGTTTTACAGTAGTAACAAACGGGATGTCTGAAATGTAACAGGCAAGCAGTAACTGTGTCACACAGTAACACCTTTAAAGCAAGATGGCAAAATAAGTAGTTTCTTGTACCTCGGTCACTACATTCCCCTAACCACTTCAGTGACAGATACTTGATACATTCTACTATCACTACCACTAAGAATTAAAAAGCCATGTGCTTTAAATGGATGCTTTGTCAAAAGCAGCACCACCTTTAAAGGATTTCTTTAATGGCATCACATTTCTCCTCCCTTCCCGCTCCCGATGCCTCCTGGGTGCTCTGTGGCACCTGGTACACCAGTTCCTCTGGGGTAGCTGCTGGCTTCCCACCCTTTGGGGTGTCGTACTGAGCCTGGCCCGAGGAGCAGCTGTCAGTCCTAGAGAGAAGTGTGTTGTAAGTTCCCACCATAGCGGGAGGTTGGTTCCCTGCAGCTTTGAAAGTGGATGTGGAGGGCAGGCTGACTGAGGCTGTGGGGTGCCCTGACATGTCCATGACAATCGGAGTTGCATACTCGGGCCCCGTTATGGGCAGCGGTTCAGCATAGGCATGGTATACTTCCTGCACTGGAGAGCTGTAAGGATCTAGGTCCGAATAGGCCGCTGCTTTCCCTTCTTCAGGTTTAAAAGTAGATCTCTGATGGAGTGTGCCAACGATTCCTCCCACGAGGGGCTGTGCATATTCTGTGGATACCACAAGACACAATGGGACACTTGTGCTATGAAAACAGATCACAACTTTAAGGTGATAGCTACAGGTTGCATCAAAACCAAGCACTTTTATCATGACACTTTGGTCTTTTATCAATGTAAAGCTTTGGAATTCCTACCCACTGGGACCAGCTGAAGAATCTAGGACCTCACAGAAAATTTGCATATTTGGGCTTGTGTGTAAGTAAGGCAAAGGAGGTTAAAGTTTTAGTGTCAAATGTAACTTGACATTTCAAAAAGCCTCCATCATCTATTTTTCCATAAAGTATTTATGTATGCTCTTTAGATTTACAAGCCGTACCTGAATGGAAAGAAGTATTCCATTAATGGAATAAATCGTAGTCTAGGGAAAGATGACTTGTATGCTTGAGAACTATCAGGAAGTGGCAAGAGTGCCCACACATCAGGGCAGCAGGGTGCCACGGTCGGGCTCTTCCAGCCTTTCCTGGTCTTTTATTGTCTTGAGTATTGGCATTCCTGTACATGTGGAGCAGGTTACCTTGTTTCTTGAGACAGTATCTCTCACTGGGACCTGGGGCACACCTAATTATTGGGCAAGCAAGCCAATCCCCAGGCTTACAGATATAAGGCCCAGTGTTTTTAGAAAGGAATGCTTCAGTTTTATGAACAGAACATCATTTTTTGAAAAGTTAACCTTTTGGAACATAGTTTATCTTAAAAAAAAAAATTATGTGTATGAATGTTTGTGTGAATGTTCATGTACCATGTGTGGGCCTGGTGCCTGCCTGCAGAGGTCAGAAAAGGACATCTCATCACTCTCAACTAGAGTTACAGGTAGTTAATGAGCAGCCATATGGGTGTTAGGAACGGAACTCCGGTCCTCTGCAAGAGCCACAAGTGCTGGACCATCTCTCCAGTACCATTGTCTTTAACATAGACGAAGGATCAAATCTGCTGTAAATCCTAAAGTCCTTGGAACAAATGTGTTTCTCCTCCTGCCTGGCGCTCAGCGCGGTGCAGTCTTACCTGCAGAATCGGCTTGCAGCACTGTGGTGACTTCCCTGGGACTCAGGTGACTAACTTCACTATTGCTGTAGCGAACTGGCGTCTCCTCGTGTTCCACCGATTTGGCAGGAAGGAACTGCTTCACTCCTTTCCACCAACCTTCATTGTGATTGTAAGCCAGGGACCATGCATTACTTAGAGACCAAGTCTACGGAAATCAGCCTTCATGTGCAAGGTGACTTTGCTCTGATCGAATGACCAGTGCAAAGCAGCACACAGAAGTCTCTACCTAATGTGTATGCAGAAACAAGTTACTTGAACATTTGCCAGTGTCACTGCAGAAAATTTAAAAAGGTTTTCTAGAAACTTCAACACCTTTTCGCCCTCCCTGGGCTGGACTGTTGAGACTAGGAAAGGAACTTGCAGCAATTCAAATGACCAAGGACCTCACAGGTTCGTAAAGTGCTAGCCTCCCAAGTGGTGCTCACCATGGCAGAGTCACGTAGACACGCAGTTAGTGGTCCTTGGTTCTTACTTAGTGCTTACACAGACCACATGGAAGGCTGTTCTCCTCAAGAGGAATAATCACGGGAAAAGACCAAGCTTCCAGAGGAAAAGATAACAATGTGTATTGCAAAAAATTTACACTCTCCCTTTAATTACTCATGAGCCAGATGGTGGAGTATGTAATGGTGGAGCATGTAAATCTTTTTAAAAGGATTTATTCATTTTTATTTTATGTGCAATGGTGTTTTGCATGCACATGTCTGTGCAAGTGTCAGATTCCCTGGAACTGAAGTTACAGAGAGTTGTGAACTGTGGGTGCTGGGAACTGAACCCAGGTCCTCTGGAAGAGCAGCCAGCGCTCCTAACTGCTGAGCTGTCTCTCCATCCCCAGGACAACATGAATTTATATCTAAAGAGTCCCTAAGACCATACCCAGAAGAGGGGAGATTTCTCTCTGAAAAGAAAACTAAATCTACAAGTTACCTGCACGATCCCAGTGGGGTAAATCATAGGTGCCTTCAGTTTTTTTCTTTCTGAAAATAAAGGTTAGAAAACAGTGAATCCTCTAGTAAAAATGTCCCAAAGGGAAGCATGAGCACCAGCTAATAACTAGTCAGGAGCATGTGGTCCTTTCACACAGAGAAGTTTTGAGCCTCTCATACTCTCAACTATATAGATGCCTCACGTCCACTGTCTCAACAACAAACACGCTGGCACGAGCAGTGACAGTGGTGGAAGGAGGAAAATGCTTTTCTGGGCCTGGAAGGCCCCACAGAGTCTGAGGAAGAGGGGGCACGTGTGCAATGGACAAGATTCTTCCCAGCCCACTCCCTCCACCTCAGAATTCTGGTTCTCCTCCCAGGAGACACTGCTCTCTGTTAATAATTGCTATTTGCTCAGAGCACTTTATAAAAGGAAATTAGCAGTGAAAGGGCATTTCCTGACACAAGTGCCAATCTCACATGGGCTGGTGAGACGGGTCCACAGGTAAAGGGCCTTGCCATGGACCCTGAGGACCTGAGTTTGACCCCTGGAACTCCCAGGGTGGAAGGAAAGAAACAGACGACCACAGCTGTCCTCTAATCTCCACCCATGCAACATGGTATGTGAGTACTTAAATACCCAGTATAGAAACGTAAAGCTCAAGACAGAGAAAACCCCCAGCAGACATGAAGCTCCATCCCAGCTGAGGAACTGTTAGTAACTGACAGCTACCCGAAGAGGGAGAATTAACTAGTTTTCTTCACGGCTGTGGCCCCTGGCAGGTAGATCAGACTCCAGCGGATGGCCTCACACCCAAGAATACATAAACACTAAGTTGGATAGGTGAGGACACAAAGTTGGGTGGGTATGGAATGGGAGGAGGGTGGATCTGCAAGGAGTGAGGATGGAGGCGAGTATGATCAAGATGTAATTATGAAATTGTCAATATATATATTTTAAAAAATAGCAAAAAAGAATTACTATTTACTGAGAGCCTTTTACATGGAAAAGCTAGCAAATGAAAGGCCACTGACAGAATCATGCAAATCTAGTGAAGCTAGAGTTAGTATTTATAGGCTAGCCAGAAACATTCTGCTTTACAGATGAGGATACACAGAGCTAGCTGTATGAGTCCTTTATCAGATCACAGGCATGGCTTTCATAAAGAGCTCAAGCCATTCGCCTGAAAGGACGTACAGATCCTAGAGCTGCCAGAGGCTAGCACATGGGTCAGCACTTGGCAGCCAAGTCTTCAGATTCAGTATTTGTCGAAGAGTGAACAAATGAGGTCATCTTCCTCTGTCAAAGAGGTCCCTCCTGCTGTTATCTCAACTCATGGTGTCACTGCTAGTCAAACTACAAACGCCAGAAACCTCATGGTGCTCCAGAATATTGCTGCTTCTTCCTTCCCTTAAACTAGTCACGCACCGGGATGAGACTGTGTAAAATTATGCTGCTGGACTTCTGTCTGACGAGGCTCTTTCCAAATTCATTTGGATGCCTTGTCTCACCTATCCTCTTCTACTCACTGGACCCATACTTCACAAATCCTGTCCCTTTCTACAGTCATTTCATAATATAACCGGCATGCTTAGCATTCAATAATTTTCTAGTCTATAGACTAGAACACAAATTTCGCTTTCTCAGTAAGCCCTTCCTAATCCACTTCCATGGTTATGTCACTATGAAGCAGATGCCTCTCTGTTTATTCTGCCTATAGTCCTATTCCTGTCTTCACTTAGGCAATTCCTTCAGTCTGGGCTGTTCTTTACTGTGATAAGACTGAATGCCTGTGTCTCTCCAAGACTCAGATGTTGCAATCCTAACCCCACAAGGTGATAGTGTTGGGAAGTGGGGCGGCTCTCGGGAGGGATGAGGTCATGGTTTCTTTGATGGGACAGTATCTTTGTAAGAAGCTCAGGGGAGCTTGTTCATTCCTCCTCTACTGTCTGAACCACAAAGGGGTCTCTCACTAGTCACTCATTTGCCAGCAACCCATGTCCAAGTCCCAGCCTCCAGAACTACAACAAGGAAATCTGGCTTATAAACCACCAGTTTTATGGCATTTTCTTTTCACAACCTGAAAACATGAAGCCCTCTGAGACTCTTTTTGATCTGGTAAGATCCTGTTTCTTTAAACAAAACACGAAGCAGACCTCCTGAGAAGGTTTCGGGTTAACTCTCATGGTTCTCCCAGCACTTCATGTGTATGACTCATCAAACATGAGTGTTTGTTATTTTGGTTAGACAACCCTGCTAAATGTGTTAGAGAAATCAATCAGTCTAATATTATCAAATACCTATATTGTCATGTTCATCTTAATGTATAGACCCTGATATACAATGCAGACCTTTTTATTAGAGCTCCCCAGTAACTGACTATCTATGGAGCCAAAGGAGAAACCTGATTTTATTCTAGTGACTATCCTAGCAGGTAAGCTGTGCCGCACTTCATTATTTTATATATTTAGGTTGTTTCCCATCACCAAAACCCCCCACCCCATCAATCATGTAATAAGCTCGGTACTGACCTGTTTCTCCAATGCCAAGCACACACTAAAATGAGGATAAGTGTGGTGAGGGCCATGACCAGCACAGGAACAAGAACAGCAGCCAGCGCGACATCTGAAGCCATGAAACAGAGCAACCATATCAACAGTGAAACAGAAACCATGAAAGAAAAGACAGAGAAGTTGAACCAGATTACCATAGCTCAACACTTTCTATCTCAGTTTGGGTCTTTCTTTCCTTTTTCTTTTTGAGACAGGGTTTCTCTGTATAGCCTTGGCTATCCTGGAGCTCTCTGTGTAGGTCAGCCTGGCCTTGAACTCAGAGATATGCCTGCCTTTGTCTCACCAGGGGCTGGGATTAAAGGCGTGCGCCACCACCTCCCGGCAACAGTTTCTATCTCAAAGAATATCTTACATATCATTTATGGAACAGGCTGGCAGAAATGGGTGACACAAGTTTTCACACATCAGTGGACAGTTCATTCAGCACACCATTCTACCTCTGCCCATCTCTGAAAGCAGTATAAGGTTGGTTTGTTTTGTGACAGGGTGGTTTCTTTGTATAACCTGTATACCAGGCTGGCCCCGAACTCGTAGAGATCATCCTGCCTCTGCTTCCCAAGTGCTGGGATTAAAGGCTTCCACTCCCACCACCTGGCAAAAGCAGTATATGCTTTAAATTACTGGCAGTTAACAGACAAGCGGTAAAGTAGAAAACCACCTTATGCATAAGTAGTCAAGTGTATGTTGTAAGACGTCACAGGCCAAAAACAAATAAGAAGGCCAAAGTCATCTAGAAACCTATCAAGAAAAATACAAGTAAGCCTCAGCTGCGAAGAACTATCAGTTAAAGGAAAAACAAGGTGCTACGTTTGTTTATGACATTTAAAGGAAGAATGGACAGCAGGAAACAGGCTTGTTGATGAGAATACAGATACTACACTTCTGATTGGTATTTTGAGGCAGCATGTACATGAACCTATTAAAGGATGCAATTCTACATCAAGAATTTATTTTGGGGAAGACATCAAGATACTAAGAGTTACATCTCTAAAGATGCCCATTCTTCTTTCTGCAGAAGAGTGGAACCGAAGGAATCTGAATATCCAGCGATGAGGGAAAAGTGAACTGTGCTCTCTCTTCACCTCAGACGAGAGAATCTATCAACCCCAAATGACAAAACGCCAATAGCTACGGCTAGTAACAGTGCAGCTAAGCACAAAAAGCCCTCCGTGCATAAACAGTCAGGAATGCACACGATGTTGGAACAGGCAGGGACTTGGACCTCACGTTCTAGCCTCGTCACAGAAAATAGGCTGCTCACAATTACTTGGGTAAGAAAAGTCTGTAGGCTCCCCCAAAGGGAGTTTCATTTGTAGTTTCAGTTTGCAAAGGTAGAGGAGAAATGGAAAGTGAGCGAAAGTCTCTTGGTGAAGTTTTTAAAAATATGGGGAGTATTTCAAATAGCCTTAGTAGAGAACAAGCAGAACTGTTCACTCAGGGCATCTGTAAAACTGCCATCACACATCTGACCATGACATGATTTTCTCCATGAAATTAAATGTAGGAGATAAAGTCATGACTGAGGCCAGGAAGCACTCAGAAATCAGAAAAATAAATATGCCTTTTCCTTATTTTTTTCTTAGAGCTGGAGAGAGTGGTACAGGTTTACATGGCAACTTTGATTAAATCCCAGACAGTAAGACAACTGCCTAGACCCAGGAGCTAGTAAAGTAGCTGCCTTGTAACCCTTAAGTCTTGGATTCAGTCTCCAGAATTCATGTTAAAAACACACAAAAAAAAAAAAACCAGGAGTATTGACATGTAATCCCAGCATGGTGGCGGCAGGGACAGGCAGACCCGGGAGGCGCACTGGCCAGCTGACGCGGCTTGGTTGGCTAGTTCCAGGCCAGAAAGAGACCCCGTCACACCAAAACACTGGAACATATTTGAGCTTGTCCTCTGGGCTCCATGTGCAAGCACAAGCAATTCAGCCTAGCTTTGAAAAACAACACGCTAGGTCTACCCACCACTTCCCCGAAGCTGAGGTGGCTCCTGGGAGATGCTCTGCTCTGTTTGCTTTGAGAACCTTGTTTCTCTCTAGCTTTTCCTACACCACGAGGAAGATGAAGACAGAAAAGAAGCACACGTACTGAAAGCTGAAGGAAATGACCTGAATTTATAAAAACTTAAGAAAATGAAAGTAATTATTAAATTCTAGAGGACAAGGAAGCTACAGTCGATGAAGTGGCCTCTAGGGCCAGGAAAGTAGTGACTGGGGATGGAAACAGTAAGATAGAGAAGCCAGACACATGAAGACTGGAAGCTTTCACACTGGATTTCAGGCACCAGCAGAGAACATGTGAGAAAAGCCTGTGAAATACAAATGGGAATGTGGGTTCTAGCAAGGGTTCTATACACCTTGTGGCCTAAGAGTTCTGGGCTTTTCTTCAGCTCACTAACCTATCCCTGAACTGCTTTTTCTATATAAACCCTCTCTATTTCTAACCACGTGTCCTTGATACAACCCTTTTGTGTGGGGACGTATGCACTTGGAGTCAGTCCCGTACCCTCTGAACCCAGAGCCTCAGCCTGGCACTCAGCATGGTTTCCCTTTTCCTTCTTTCTTTTTCAGTTGTCCTATATGTGATTCCCCGCCAACCTGAATCTTTGAGACTCTTCTCTTCCTCTCCCACATAGCTGCTCACTATTGATGCTTGTCAGCTCTCTCCTTTCCTCTTCTCTACCTCCTGACTCTGAAGTTGTGAAGGTTTACAGATTTCCTGTCCTGTTTCCTTCTCATGCTGTAATGACACTATATTTGACTTCACTCTTTTATTAATGAGACAGGAACTAGGGTTTCCCTAGTAACCCTTTCTTCTTTACATTTTGCTGACAATGAGTGTTTCTTCATGTTAGCAATTATTATCATTTTCCGACACCGACACCTTATTTTCTGAACTTAACTGAAAATTTTCTTTTTAACAAGTAAAAAGAACCTCAATGGTTTCTGCAGTTTAACACTTTACTTATCACTGTAATATAATTTAGACGTATTTTTAGCATTTGATTACAAATGTATAGAAAGGGTATTTAAAAAGTGAGAATATTAACTGAATATTTTTATAAGTTTTTGTTTTCTGCTCTTCTCTACCAACTGTCCCCTTTAGTGAGTTAACACATAACGAGGGGTAAAAAGACTTATTCGCTGCTGTGGCTTAATAATTTCTAGACGTGATGCATTTCTGAGCTTGGTCTTAGCTGACGGGGATTATGAGAAGAGGTCTACAGAACAGCCCAGCACAGCAGGCTTAGTGACCGGAGAGTACTCTTGGGCAGTTGCAGGCTTTTCCCTGAAGAGAGAAGTCTTGTTTATGTATTTAGAACTGAGCTGAAAACACAAGAGAGCGTGAGCTGGACCCCTGAGTTGAGAACAAGAGCCCACCAGGTGGCAGTGCTCACGCCTGCGCTCCTGCCTACCTTTGGTTACACTGGGAGTCACAGTCGTGTTTTTTATGTCAGGAGTGGCAGTTGTATGTGCAGGAAATTCATTCCTACTTCGAGGCTGAAGTGCTTGAGTAAATTTAGGGGCACGACCTGGAAAAAAGTTAGAAGAAATATTTATTTATTTATTTTTAAATCATTAGCAAGTCCATTAATGAAAGACAAATTTTTTAATGCTTTAAATAATATTTATAGTACATTACATCATAAATCTAGGGCACATCAAACTTTCACATTAAAAGCAGGTATACAGTCACCTGGTTTGGGATGGGTTGTGGTGTTTTTGAGGTTATTGCTGTTCCGAGGTGGTGGAGGCTGAGTAAGCTTTGGAAGACGACCTTAAAAATGGGTTAGAAATGTTACATTTTGCTTAAAAAAAATCATAGTTTAAAAGAGCAATGTTAAATGTTCAACATTTCCCAAGTTGCTTAATTCTTCAGAGCAATTTAAAATCTCAGAATCTAGGTGGATAACTATATTTTGCATTACATGCAGAAAAACTAAGAATTTTCAGCTTTTATACAATTAACTCATTAACAGATAATCGTAGAAGATACTGTGGAGCAGAATGCTGCAGAATCCCTTAGGTACAGTCTGATATTTAGGGCATTTAGTAAGTGTGTACGGAGAGCCGACTTTGTCAGGCACAGTGATAGTTTTGTGGGGTTTAAGTAAATAACATTAAATTGTATAAAATAGAGTGAATTTATTCCGGTTTTATTAATTGAAAAGAAAGTTACTCAAGCTAAGGTTGCTGTTCTGATCTTCAGTGCATATATGTAAATACATAAAACCTGACAACCAGTCTTTAAAACCAGAACTGGAAAGCAATCACAAAATATTGTCTCACAGAAATGATGCTGCCTTTTCATTTGTATTTTGAAAGCATTTTGATGGGCAACTTTTTAACAGGAAAATAAATGAGCACTTCCTGCCAGAGAGAGAATTCTGAAAGGTTTCAAATACAGAGAAATGGTATCTATTTGAAGCGACCATTACCCTGATCTGATCACTGTATCTACACACGTGTACTGAAAGGTCACAGTACCCCATGAGTATGTGTGATCACTGTGATGGTTACACAGTGGAGGCAGCTCAGACCACCATTAGCCCACGCTGACTCTTTACCTTTGAGAGTGAACTGACATCCGAGCAGCTCCACTTTCATGGCAATTTTCTGTTGCCACTGGACAGGGTTCACTCTAATGAAACGTGCAATAATTGGTGGCAAAAAGTTATTACGAACATCCTTGTGATAATCTTTGTTTCCTTGAAATATCTTTAAAAAATAACAAAAATTGGTATTTTACATCAAAAGAGACCAGAACTGGACTGCTCCACTTAAGCATGTTCAACAACATCTGTAAAGTACGACAACAGAACAGACTTCTCAGAAAAGGACTTAGTTACCATTTGGAGAAACAAGTATTAAGGAGCTGCACATTCTATTCTGAAACTTACGTGAGGAAAATACTAGCTATAAAAAGGCTTTTAGGATGGTGTAAGAACTGAACAGGCGTGCTAAGTTGGCAGTCTGTGAGACGGTTCAATTGCAGTGACACAGCTCATTCTATCAATAAGCTATCAACCCAGTCCTTATAGAGTTAATTATTTAAACATACAGATTTTATTTTCAAAGTGAAAAAGAACTGATCATACAAGAGACTACTGGAAATGCTTTGCTCATTAAATTTTTTTTATTTCAGTTTATTGCCTTTATATCCTAAGGGTGCCCCTTCCTCTTCTCCTTCCTCATATTAGGAATAGTTCCACCTCAAGACCCAGCTATACCACTCCTGCGCATGTACCCAAAGACACTCCACATACAACAAGGACATTTGCTCAGGTACATTTCAGAACAATTTTCCCAATAGGCTGGACGTGAACAGAGTAGCAAATGCAAACAGGCCTCCACCTGCTGGAACAACTGCGTTATGGCATTCTGCACACCACGATCCCAGTTTTCATCACTTGTTGCTTATGTGAAGAAGCAACAAATGCATTATATAAACATGATTTAAAGTGATTACCTTATTCCCTCAACTCGTTCAAGCAAGTGTGTTTTATACTCAGTCAGCTCTTATTTATAAAGTATTTTCATGTACTTGTCATACATTCAATGCCTTCAAGGCAGTGCACAGAGTGACCCACAGAATAACAGTGGCCAGCAGCAGGGAGCTGTCGTGACTGTGTCTGACTCTACAGGAAGGCTGTACTAAGTTAAGCAAAACCTTGCTTTCCCTGGACCTCTAAGTCATCCCCAAGCATGAGAACTATTTCTTCTGGGCCCATCCACATGTAACTACATTATACACATTTGAGCACACATTAAGAGCTTTTATTTTCTATAAAGTTTGCTCTGAATGTCTGTGAGCTTCTGTGATTTCCTTAAGATACTTCCCTACAATAGAGTAAAGGAACTAATCGAAACATCATTTCAGGACAAACTGTTGGTAAAGAAAGGCTGGGCATGTAGTCCAGATGGTAGAGTGTTTAGTTATATGCACAAAGCCCTACTGTCTATCCCCATCACCACATAAAACCGGGTATTCTGGAGCACACTTATAATCCCAATATCAGAATCAGGAGTGCAAGGTCATCCTCACCTGTGCAATTTAAGTCCAGACTTAGCTTTATGAGACCCTGTCTCAAAAACAAAGTGCCAACATTTACTGAAAATCCAGTATACAGAAAGGTGTATAAGATGTCCTTAGAAAGAATAGAAGCACACAATTCTTTCTCACTCTCCTCTCACATGAAGATGGTGTACTATTAGAGAGCAATAGATTATGAAAATTTAGGAGGCATATTGATTTTGCTTTCTAGAAATAAAATAAAATTTAGGCTCTGTATGTATGTGCAGACTTAGAAGACATGTGAAAACAAATATAACAGTTACTAGAGAAGTGAGCAGATAAACAGAGTTAAGTGAGAAGAAATACTGCTATTTCATGCAGTTAAAAAACAACTTCTGTACTTCAGTGACAGGAACTGGACCTCAGCTGTACACAACTGAAAAACTAGGAAAGTGCATGACATAGTAGTTCCTAAGACACTGGGCAACAGGCAGCAGAGGGTAAGAACCACAGAGTAGGGAAACAGACAAGCCACGCTCTGTTTATCAGTACTGCCTGGTGAATGTCCAGGTCACAGGCAAGAGTATCCTACATGGAGCCTGCTGGTCTGCTCTGTCTGGCAGACAGAGCCAGAGACCATGAGGCCAATGGACACTTAGACTTCCTGGGGTAGAGTTTAGCAGACCTGGAAAGAACAGAATGAATGACAGCAAGAGTGGATGAGCGGGAGGAAGGCTACTAGGCTCTATAATGCGGTTTTCTATTAGTCCTAAGACATAAGCAAAGAGGCAACTTAGAATCAGAAAAAGAACCCTATGACCAGTAGAGGAATCTTACAACAACACAGGTGTCAAACACGCTACATCACCAGTAAACACAATGGAGAAATTTCATAATACATGGGGTGCTGCCACATGAAGACTGGCAAGTTAGACTCCAAGGCTGCCCATTTCTGCCTAGCAATATTTAGAAAGAAAACAATGTTTTCTGACAGCTTAGCTGCATCCCAGAACAATGCTCAAACACATATAAAGGATTAATAGTGATAACAGAACATCCAGAGGCAATCAGTGGCATCCTGCCTGGTACCATGATATGCATGGTGAAGCTGCTACATGAGCACACTAAGGACATACATGCTCCATGTTTTATGTACCTATGAAGAAATACATGAAAGAAAAAAAATTAAAACCCAAGGTGAAAATGAAGAGGGGACAAATACAGTATTGGAGGTAAAATGCAGTAGGTGGGATTAAATGATTAGACACTGCGGAAGAGTAAACCAATGGAAAGACAAAGGAAAAAAAATCCTCCAAGCTAAATCATGGAGAGAAAGATTTTAATGAAAGAAAAAGAGCAGAGCACAAGTGCAGCTGTGAAGAACAAAGTGTGGTGAGGGCACTTGGAGGAAAACAATGCAAGTCTCATTGAAAGAGAAGGCCATCAGTTCCAGCTCCACGCAGCATTCACCTTCCTTGGGACGGACTCCTCCACTTACAGCTTCTCTCAAGGACTACAGGCAGGACCCTGGGACTGGGACAAGCACCCCAGCGAAACACCCACCCTTCCATTTTCTCATCTCCTTGTCCCATGCCAGTGTCTCCACAAGCTTTTGCTATCTAAGACAAAAATGTCCTAAGTGTCACTGGAAATGATGGAATTTTGCATGTAGGAAGAAAAGGTCTCCACTGACACAGAACTGGTGAGGTGATCTGACAATGACCTTTCTATCTTTAATGAATGTTCGCTTTTGCTCTGCCTCCCTTCCCTCTTGCCTATAGTTGAAATCTGAGAACAAAGTCAAGGCTATATCATTTAGTAGATGTTATAGGGACAAAATTTGAATTTAGCTGTTTAGAAGTCCTTACTTTGCTATCCAAAATACTTGTATAAAAATTCAGTTAAAAAAAAAAATCAGTACTAATTACCCACAGTTTTCTAGTCTACTTTGGTGAAGGCACTTCCTAAAATAACCAGAAGAGGGCAGTGTGAGACAACATGCCATTTAACATTAGCCTCTGACTTCACACAAGCCCTTTACCTTGTCCTGCTCCACGCCCGGTTCTCTATACACTGTCCATTTCTGCCCATCGTCGCTGTACAGAACTCTGTAGGCAGACACATAGTAATTGTGCTCTACCATGGTAGATCCAGTGGTTACAATACCTAGGGAGTAAGGAGTGGCTTTCATTAGTGCACAGGCTTAGGCTCCAAAAGTCAGCTAGGAACACCAAGTAAGCATGTCTGTCTGTGGCTTATTTTGTGGACAGTTTTCATCATGACAGTTACTAAAGTCTTGGCTTTGCTCCTTTGCAGAGACAGGAAGAACTGCTGCATTCATACCAACAGAAGACACATTTCAATTAGGAAGAATGACTTCCTGGGCAAGAGCATTAAGCATGATGACTGGCAGGCAAATGATTCTTTTAACAGAAGTATGTAAACCAATTTTAATTATTCAGATCATTGCTAAGTTCACCTAGGTTAAATTTATCCTCAGCACATATGGAATTTGACTTACTTCCAGCACTTAAAATGCATTTTCCTTAACTATTAATTTCTTAACAACTGTAAGGGATTATTATTTTAGAAGTCTCAAAGATCAATTTACTGAAACTCTATCTTAAAAAGATCATATTAAAATAAAACAGGACGGCTGAAAATTAGATCCAAATTCCTCTTTTGGCAAAAATTTTTAAAAAGCACCCCAGTAACATTAGCGCCCATGAAGAAAACTGAGGCTGTGTAATTTTCAGTGACCTAATTTCCGAAAATTTGAGGTGCCATAGGGTTTCCAAATAAAACCAGGGCTAGCAGTGCCGCAGAGAGCCGTGTCTCTTAACCTGTTATCTTCTTCTCCTTATTCAGGTCTATCTGCAGCCACTGATGCTCATCCGTGGCAAAAGCAGCCCAGGGAGGCCCAGGCTTCCTCAGCCTGGCCTTCTCAGGTTTCCAGCTGTTCTCCTGCCCCATGTGGTCAGTCCACTCCAGTACAGATGACGCTGTTATCTGGGGATCGGCAATCACACCGGACTCCATCCCCAGAGTTCCGTAACAACCTGAAGTAGAGAGAGGAAAGTCCATTTGGTCCCTAAAGGTAAGTTTGAGATCTCTACAACAGCCCTTACTGCAAACTGCTGATTCACAACTGAGTAATGAACTGCTCCTCAGGCTTTTGCCTTTGTGTCCCATCAGAAACCGACAAGCATGCAGCTGGTGTTGTCTGTGGGGTCCATTCCAGGACATCCCATACTGGCAGGCAGACACTAACATCTACAAATGCTCAGGTCTTAGATATGAAATGGCACCGTGCTGGCACATAGTGCACCGTCTGTCATCTCTGGGCTACTTGCAGCCAAAGACTGTAAACGTGATGTACACAGTTGTGACACCACACCGCTTAGAGAAAAACAACATTTGAAAAGAAAAGTATGTCTACGTAGCATAGAAGCAAGATTTCCTCTGACCCGCTTCAATCTGTAGGTAAGAAAACCATGGATTTGAGGGTGGACTAGATGTATTTATAAGCATTAGCTGTCAGTCTATGGAGATAGACTATCCTGCCTCTTGGGTGCCCAGCAGACTAGAAGGCAACTTCTCCCTGGGCCTCTGTAGGTTTTGCTCTGTCCTCTGCAAAGCCTTCCCTGACTTTAAACTTCAGACCAATGGAATGAATTAATTCTTTCTTCAGACAAGTTCAAATAAAGCTCTCAAAGGGATCTTATTCGCTTCTAATTCCCCTGTGAATAGTGAAAGTGTAGATTTAGTCTACAGTGAAAGTGTAGATTTAGTCTACACTTTACCTAACTAGGCCTCGATTTTACTCATGGTGTTCTCAAAAGCAAAGAAGAAAGAATGAATAATTTAGTAGTCACTGGGTGCCTGACGGGGCTTAACACAGCATTAGCTATTTCGCAAAGATGATGGCGCAAGTCCATGGAAGGCTTACCACTTGTCTTAAATGTAAACAGACTCGCGGACAAGTATCCCCTGAAAGAGAAAGGGCCTCATGTGAGACTCCGTTAACATGCAGCTTCCTCACAGTCATCATAGTGAAGCTTTAATTTCTCCTTTTGTTTAAAGGGCTAAGAAGATCACATGGCTACAAACCGGACAATGATATGCATTAAAAAACAAGCAAACAAACGAAACCAGCAACAACAAAAAACATCTGTAAACAGAACAACTTGCGAAATTACCATGAACAACTTTCTACAAGTCTAGCACCTAGGTTCACACACGATTGTGCAAATGTGGCATGTGACCTTTAAGTCTTATTTTACTTCTTCTTCATGAAATAGTTACATAAAACTTCTTTATTTTTTAATTCTGTGATACAACATGAAGAGGTGTATATTCAGAGAACGAGGTGAGATCCAAGTCTCCTGGTAAATACAAGAGTACTGACAAAGACACTGGAGAAAACCAGCACGTCTGAGTGAGCTGAGGGGGTTAGGGTCAAACAGAAGAGCTTGTCCTATGAGAAGACCTAAGAACACTGAGGACTCCAGGAGACACAGAGGGTGTTCATTTACACCCCTCCTCTTAACACAGTGTTCAAAATGTCATAAGAGAATGCAAATTATTTTTTATTGTGTTTGAGATAGGGTCTCTCTCATGCAGCCTTTTCACTAGACAGCTCAGCCTGACTGAATCCCCAATCTTCCTGCTTCTACAGCCTAAGTCTGGGGACTGCAGGCCAACACCACCACACCCGTCTTGGATTCCACCAGAAACCTACAAACAGGCAGCTGTCCACTGACGTCTGTGGGCACCAGTTCCAGGACATCCCATATTCCCTGGCAGATGTCAAAATTTGCAAATGTTCAAATATGTTAAATAAAATGTTATAATATTAGCACATAACTTACTGTCAACTTAAAGTCACCTTTAAGGGTTACTTATAATGTCAAAGAAAATATACTTTTATACAGGGAAAGAGAAACTACACATACCTCCAAACTCTCTTTAAAGGGTAGAACACAGAAAAGAATGAAAGGATGTGCATAAAATCATATAAAAAAAAAAAAACAAAAGAAAAAAAAAAAGGAAGGCAGCATAGCCTCTTTTGCATGGCCAATGGACTGTTTTCTGTGTAATTAAAAGGCTGTGGATAAAATAAACAAACAAGAAATGAATGGAGGAGACATGTTTTTGCTTGTTTTTAGAGACAAGGTTTCATGATATAGGCCAAGCTGGCTTCAAGCGAATAACCCTCTGCATCAGCCTTCACAGTTCTAGGAATACAGGCATGTGCCCTCATGCCTGTAGATGGATTTTCAAAGAAAGTTTGCTGCTATACTCTATTGTGTTCTGGGCATGTATCATGCTCTTTCCTTCCGAAAGGAAGCAGGCTGCAGCTGGGGTTAGTACAGTGTCTGAGGATGATGTACATGGAAGAAACAATATTTTAGAAGATAATACTTGTATTTTTATTTAAGTTTTCAACTGGTCCTGATTTGGATGCCTTATATGTCTTACAAAATACTTGAATATTGTAGAGAACAAGAGAATCCATTCTCAATACTCTCTTGTGATGAGATGCTTTACAGTTCTGCCTTTGTTATATGTCAAAATCTGTTTTCTAGTAACTATTTCAGTTAGCCTCAAGTCCACCCTTGTTTGCAAAAAACAAGAAGAAACACCATAGTTTTGTCTTTCTGGTTGTCAAAAGAAAGTATGACCTTGTCTACAAACTCCTAAACTCTTATTTTAGAGTATTTCAAAACCAAGAAAAGCAGCAGCAATCACCCTTCCGGAGGACAACCTGCATGCAGCAGAATAAGGCAAACAACGTGGAATGACCCAGCCACCGGGCCAGACCCTTCCACCTGCTGGCCTGCACTGCGGGCTGTGTGTGCGGTGAGCACCAGGCTTGTTTCTGTCAGCTTTAGTGATACGGCTGCCTTTGGCTAATTTTTGTTCCTGTTAATAACCTGTTGCCCCACCCTTGTAAGCAACCCCAATAAAATGCATGGGTTCACTATACAGTCCTTTGGTGCTGTCATCGGTTGCCTCTCTGGTGGATGCTTGTGTCTCCGCGGGAACAGTGACACACAGACCCTCAATCCCACCCAGCATGATTACTACAAAGGTTTATACTTACACCATGGAAGTGACGTTGTTAGCCAAAGAGCTTTCATAGTACGGGGTGCCTTTGCTAATCACAACACTGATTTGGCCACCGAGCACATTGGACACTACTCCCGCGTGGATTCCAGCCATACACAATGGCGAAGACTCGAATAAACAAAAACAAACAAAAAAGAAAAATTAATTTTTCTTTTGATTATTCAGAAGCAAGATACTTGCTCTTTCTCAAAAAATTATCTGATCTGGAAGCTTCTTAGAAACATAGGTTATTGTAACAAAACACATTTTTTAGCACAGGAGTTAGGTTTTACTATAAAGATATCAAACATGTTTGGAAAGATAAAGACACATTCTATGCATTTTGGGACCACTAGGCAGCCTCCTAAGCATTTTTAGGTTTAAAGTAGTATCCACAGCAGGGAAATAAGTATGTATTCAACTTACATCTCTATATCCATGAGGAATTGTTCCTGATATTTCAGCAAAGGGGAGCAGACAGCCAGCTGGGCAGTACTTACTGAGAACAAAAACAAGTGAAAGATTACAGAATGCTCACTTTCTGTGGGAAAACATTCCAAAGAGAAGTCACACACGCTTCAAACATGCTTCTGTTCAGTGTCCAGAGTGCAGCTTCAGCACGGCAGAGGTCCCATTTAGACTTCTTCCACCCACACATACTTCACCAACAATCATGCTCTTGAAAGCCATAACTCCTTGATTATTTTACTTCACAACCAGCAGAAGACATCTCTCTGCTCTATGGCCTCGTCACCATGTCCCACAGGCATATATGAATGTCCACATGTTATCTGACAAGGTCAGTGGCTTTTGAATGCTAACCAAATAAATTAGCCTTGTCCATATTCAAGTGGAAGAAGAAAATATTCATCCTGTACTTACACAGATATTTGGGGTGAGAGAGGAGAATTATTATTTAATAACATACATACGTTTAGCAAATTTGCCACGTATGGGGCAGCACCCTGAGTGTTTCAGGTAATCTGCACAAGAATGTCACATTGGAGGTACTATTAAATTATTATTCCAACTTTACAGTCAAGGAAAGTAAAAGAGCTCTGCACCCGAGTCAGAAAGCTGGGCTCCTCCTACACAGGGTTGACACAGCTCATTTGTGTTAGTGGACGTCACTGAGGTAAGTCAGTGATGGAAACTGCACTCCAGAAGCCGGCCCCAGTCAGGATGGTATGTTTGGGTGTGTTCCTGAGAAAGTGGTGTGTGCAGGAGGTTAGAGAGATGCAGGATCCAGATCATGCAGAAGCCAGTGGGCTATGAAGTAGGGTAAATGCTTCTAGATAAAAACAGGAAGCCAGTAAAGGATTGTGACAGCTCCTGTGCAATCTGATGAATAACTTTTCAGACAGGTTATTCTGGCTTCTGGGAAGGAAAGATACATGAGTGGAAGCTCAGGAGAGGACTGACAAGAGCTTGGATGTGGATGTTGACAACAGTGCTGGAAACTAGAGGGAGACTTCCACCATGCTGCCCAGATCACACTGAGCAACACGAAAGGCAGCAAGTTCTCCACAATAATGACAATCTTCCATGTGCACACGTGACTGTGTTTGTGCCTGTGTGCATGAACACACGTTCATTGTGTGTGCAGGATGGAGTTAATGCCAGGTACATCCCCCCGTAATTCTTCACCTTATTTTTTGGAACACGTTCTCTCCTTGAAACTAGAATCCAAAGACATCAACTAGGTGAGGCTGGCTGGCCCTGAGCTCCCGGGGTCCTCCCGTCTCTACCTGCCCAGCACTGAGGTCACAGGAGTGTGTTGCCTGGCTTTCTATGTGGGTGGGAGACTGAACTCAAGTCCTTGTCCCTGCATGTCAACTCTACGGCTGAGTCTCTCCCAGCCCGGGAACCTTTCTAGAAGATCAAAGTTCTCTAGGGTTGAGTGCCAGCACGGTGGAAATTAGTGACAAGGACACCAAACAGATGAAAGCATGCTAAGCAGTGAGGAATAAAGTAACTATGCAAAACATCCTAGGAGCAGCTTAAATACTGTGTACAGAGACAAGACTAAGCGAAGACCCAAGGCTTACTTGTCAAAGACACTGAAGTCTGGGTTATGGAATCTGCACAGCTTTTCCTTTCTTTCAATGAAGAGTTTTAAGCAGGAAAACCATACTTGCACTTTAGAAAACCAAATGCCGGCAGTGCGAGTAACAGAAGAGAGTCAATCGAGATTGCTGGGGTTGAGCTGGAACTAATACGTACTCAAGTGTTAACTGCTTGCTCTCCAAGATCTTTACAAGCAAATTCTCATGTATCCAAAATGATGTAGTGTAAACCTGGCCTCCCAATTAGTCCTTGATTGGCAAATAAAGTTGCTTATACCTGGGCTGAGCAGAAGAGAGGTATGTGGAGCCAAGGTTTGCAGCTTTTGGGGAGGGTTGTCAAAGAGAGATACAAGGAAGAAAGAGGAGGAAAGAGGAAAGAGGTCGCCATGGGTTAGTGAAACTAGGAGCAGTGGCTGGAAGCAGCTTGCTCTGAGGACTGGCCTAATGGAGCAGCCCAAATGAAACATGTGCAAGTATTTATGGGGATTTTGGCTGGAGAATAGACAAGCTAGCTTAGAGGGTTACTATCTGTCCAGCTTCAGAGTTTTAAGGCTTATTAAAAATCTAACAAGTTTCTGCATCTTTTATTTATACAATAGCGGGTTAAGGAATAATGGCCACCTTAATAATACGTGTCAATATTAAATATTAATAATCCTACAACACAACATTAAAAATGGGGCCAGCTGTTTTGGCACATGCCTTTAATCCCAGGAGGCAGAGGCAGGCAGACTTCTGAGTTTAGAGCCTGTCTCATCTACAGAGTGAGTTCCGGGACATCCAGGGCTACACAGAAAAAAACCTGTCTTGAAAAACCAAAAGAGGGGGGAGGGAGAATAAGGGGAAAGAGAGAGAGAGAGGAGGGAGGGAATAAGAGACAGAGAGACAGACACAGAGAGAGATATTAGAAGTGGGAAATTAAGAAGTCAATTCTTGTCCAAGCACAAGGCAAAGGCATAAAGCAACGATACTTCAGAGAGAGGTGCTGAGTAAGAACACTTAGGGATGCTATTACAGCCCATGCAATTTTACCTGTCTACCTACCTATCTATCTAGAAAAATGACTCTGAACCCCAGTTCTATCAGTTGATGATATCTGAGAGAGGATGAGTTACTCACCGTGGGGATTTGGCCACTGCTATGCTGCTCATGCCCCTCACTCAAGAGCATATTGCAATACCAATAACAATTAACGGAAGAGGACATGAAGTTGGAAGGGAAAGGGGATGAGAACACTGGGGGAGTTCAGGAGAGGTGGTGGTGAATGGGCATTACAAATATATAATGTATAAATGTATGAGACCTTCAAAGGATAACAATATTAAGATAAAATTTAGAAAGAACAGCTTCTCTAGACGCAGTCCTGCCAGATTTAAGAGACTGAGCCATTCTACCTCCAGAACATCCCACTATTTACCTAGAACCACAGTTTGGGCTACATAGTGAGACCTGGTCTCATACACTTCTCCATAGAAAGAATAAGCAAGATAAAAGTTCTCCTTCTGTTCTGGAGATGTAATCACTACAGTTAAAGTCAGATTTAAACACGGTAACTGTTTAAATAAGTACTGCCTGACTGGGAGCCTTCAACAGTGATTAGTTATGTGTATCACATTTTCTACATTACCATGCAGTATAAAAGAATGAGAGAATGAAGAGTGCTGGAACACACACACACACACACACACACACACACACACACACACACACACA